TATATACTTTTCTCTTATTACTGCTTTTGCTGTGTCCCATACATTCTAGAAAGTGGTGTCCTCATTGTCGTTCAACTCAAAGTATTTTTTAATTTTTTCTTTGATCTCTAATCCAATGGTCTTTCAGTGTAGATTTCAGTCTTCATGAAGTGGGAGAGTTCCTTGCTTTCTTTTCATGATTTATCTTTAGTTTGATGCCTTTATAATCAGAGAAGATAGTTGGAATGATAATTGATCTTAATGGATCTGTTGATGTTTGTCTAGTGGCCTAAGGTATGATCAATTCTGGAGAATGATCCGTGTACACTTGAGAAAAATGTGTACTTGGATTCTCTTAGGTGTGGCATTCTATAGATGTCTGTTAAGCCCATGAGGTCTAAGTCTTTATTTAGGGCTTTAATGTCTTTGTTTATTTTTGTCTCATTGATCTGTCCATTGGTGAGAGTGGGGTGTTGAAGTCCCCTACTATAAATGTATTTTCTCTAATGTCGGTTTTCAGAGCTAATAATAATTGTCTTATATATTTTGGTGCTCCTTTGTTTGGTGAGTATATGTTGATGAGTGTTGTATCTTCCTTATGTATTGTCCTCTTAATCATAATGTAGTGTCCATCCAATCTCTTTTTACCTTTTTTAGTTTGAAGTTTGTGTCATCTGATATAAGTATAGTTGTTCCTGACTTCTTTTTTGTTCCATTTGCTTGTAGGATTGTTTTCCAACCATTTACTTTCAGTCTATGCTTAACTTTTATAGTTAAATGTGTTTCCTGCAGACAGTATAAAGTTAGATTTTGTTTTTTAATACAGCCTGCTTCTGTGTCTTTTTATTAATGAATTTAATCCATTTACATTTAGAGTTAGTATTGCTATGTTGGCATCTGTATTTGCATTTTCTTTGTCTTTTTGTGATTTTATTCCTTGCCTTATTCTGTTCTTCTTACTCATTCCTCTGTTGGTTTTGGTTTTAGGACTTCTTATAGTGTTTTTGAAGTGGAGGTTTAGTCGAATTTCTGGAGTTTCTTCTTGTCTGAGAAGGCCCTTATTTTTTCTTCATAGAGGAAGGAGAGCTTTGCAGGGTATTCTTGGTTGGCATTTGCTGTCTTGGAGTTTGTTGAATGCTCTTCTTGCCCGTAGTGTTTCTTTGGAGAAGTCTGATGTCAGCCTGATTGATTTTCCTTTATAGGTTATCTGTTTCTTCCCCCTTGTCAGCATCATTATTTTTTCTTTGTCTTGGACTCTTGGAAACTTTACTATTACGTCTTGCTGTGGTTTTCCTTTCATTATGGTAATTTGGTGTTCTTTTTGCTTCTTGTATGCATATTTTCATCTCCTTCTTCATACCTGGGAAGTTTTCTTTGATTATCTCCTTGAATAGTTTCTCAGTTCGTTGGTCTCTCTCCTCACCTTCTGGGATTCCTATAACTCTTATATATCCTTTCTTCATGGTGTCAGATAGTTCTTGAAGTGTTTCTTCATTCTTTTCCCTTCATACTTCTCTTTCCTTTTCTTTTTTTGATTCTTTTTATTTCTATGATCTTCGAGAGTACTGATTTATTCTTCCATTTCATCAAATCTGTTTTCCTTGCCTTTCCCCAGAGTTCTTTAGCTCCTTCACTAATCTTTTAATCTCTTACATTTCTTTCATTTGTTTCTTTAGGGACTCAGTTTCATTGTTCAGTTATTAATCAATTATTTTTCTGATTGTTCTATGCACTGGGACACTGTGCCACTGGTACTGGCAGGCATCTCTTTGGGCTTCTCCTTCTGGGATGTAGGAACTGGTGGCCAGGCTGGTGGCCAATACTGTAAAGCCAAAACTCCATAAGAGTAATGATGCAGGGCCTCCCTGGTGGTGCAGCTCCTTTCTGCCTGCTCTGCTCCCCACTCTGGCTCTGGTGAATTCTCTCACCCTTCCACGCTTCTGACTATACCCAGTGCTTGCATAAATAAACAAACAAATAAATAAATAAATAAGTCTTTAAAAAAAAAAAAAAGAGTAGTGATGCAGTGGCTATGCTGTCCCTGAAGATCCCCTCCCTCTGTATTTACTCAGTCCCAGAAGGGGATTGTGGGGTCCCTGGCTCCAACAGTGGCACAGAGGCTGCCCGCAGTTCACCTTGGTGGTGGATCCCGCCCGCCCCAGTTCTGCTCATTTCTAAAACATGGGCATGGGTCTTGCAGCAGCCTTAGAAGTTAAATTCTAAATGATAATCCAATTCAGTGTTTTAATAAACATTCTAAGCAGGTGATCTTAGCAAAACACTGAAAAACAGTATTAATAGTGTTGCTTTTAGAAAGTGATTTGATGAAGTAATCAATCATGCTCTCAAGTAGTCAGTAGTCTGATTTTATAGCTCTTTGAAAAACCTGACAACAAAAATGATCTCTCCCTAACTTCAAGTGATAAATTTCCATTTTTAGACTTCCAAGTTGTTTTGACTAAAAGTAACAATCTAACAGATTGTGAAGCATTATTGATTGACAAGGGTGATACTTAAGCAGAAGTGTTTTTGAAAGTATTTCTCTAGATGACCTTACTATTAGAAACTTCTCATGCCAAAATTATATGTATAATCTTTTTATCCAGTCTCTTAACTGTTTTAATTTGCTGCTGCCCTATATAACTGTAAATTCACTTTTGAAACTGACATAGTTTTTAAGATTTTAATCAAAACTATTTTCACATCAACAACAAAATTATTTAGGGTAGTCTCTTGTTGGAAGACAGCCAGACACTGTCATATCAAGCCTGATAGGGCCTCCCCCGTGGCGCAGCGGTTGAGCGCTGGGTTAGCGAAGCTGCCCGCAGTCTCTGCAGCGCCGGTTCGATCCCCAGCTGCTCCCCGGCCACCGGAGGAGGATCCCACATGGCACGCAGACCTCTCCTGCCGCCCGCTGCTCCCCTCAGCAGTGTACTTCAGTCTTTCTGCCTGCTCTGCTCCCCGCTCTGGCTCTGGTGAATTCTCTCACCCTCCCGCGCTTCTGACTGTACCCAGTGCTTGTATAAATAAATAAATAAATCTTAAAAAAAAAAAAAAAGCCTGATATCTTTGTATATTTGATCCAAGACTTTCTACTATGCATTTCCATTTATATGAAATATAAACCAGGAGAGGTGTTTACCCTTGGAGGGAATGGTTTGGTGACTAAAAGGGGCATGAGTTGAGGTTCCCGAGGGCTGGTGAGATTTGCTTATTGAGTTGGGTGCTGGTAAAATAAGTGTGTTTGGTTTGTGAAAATTGATTGAACTATATACTTAGGATTATATATACTGTTTGAAATTGTATAATAAATCAGTGAAAAACTACCCCTTCAAAAGTGGATTGGCATTAGTGTTGCATTTTTAACTGAGTCACTTGCTTTACCTCACTTTTGCTGTTTGCTTGTATATTGGGAGTTAGATTTCCCATTTATAGTAGTTATTAAAATATCCTTTTGAAATTGAAAAAATATTCTTTAATGCTACCCTCAAGCAAAATTTTGCAAAGATTTGCTTTCGTGAGGATTCTTCCTTATTACACCATTATAATGTGTGTGTGTGTGTTTGTGTGTGTGTATACAGTATATACATCATATGCCTTTAGTACTTAGTATTTTATCAAATTTTATAAAGCCCATCATCATTGATTGAAAATAGTTAATTTAAGAAGGGAAGTTCTTCTTAAAAAGATACTATCTTCTAAAATAATTTTTAGGGTAGTCTGATATCATTATACTAAATGGCCTTAATAGTGGTAAGAGCAAAAGAATTAAAGAATGCCAAATAACAGTTGGATAGAAAAACAATCAGAATTATAAAATTCTTAGGTTGTCAGTCAGTTGCTTAACTCATTTAACCCAAACATGAAATTTAACCTGTATGTGGCAGAAACACTTAAAGCATATAGTGTTTTGTTAGATGAAAGTGGGCTTACAGATTTTAAATAGGTCACATGCCACTTGCCCAAGTTAAAAAAATATTAGAAATGGAGAAGTTAAAGAGAATATTTATTTCTTTATACCTTCTTAGAAGTAAGAATACTTTGGGGGCCTCCCTGGCGGTGAAGGGGTTAAGCACCGCACTATGAAGCAATCCATATCCTCTGCAATATGAGTTCGATCCCCGGCCAGCCAGGGAGAAACCCACATGGCACAGCAGACCTCTGCTGTCTCGCCCGCTGCTCCCCTCAGCAGTGTAATTTCAGTCAGTCTGCCTGTTCTGTTCCCCACTCTGTCTCTGGCGAGTCCTCTCACCCCCTGCATCTCTGGCCTGTACCCCAGCTCTTATATGCATAAATAAATAAATAAATAAATCTTTAAAAAAAGGAAGTAAGACTATTTTGTCATATCTCACAGAGGCATGTTGAGGAAATGGAATAGGAAATAACTAAGCTTTCTATAAAATTCATGTAACAGTTTTTTGAGATTTAGAAACACACCATTAGCAAAAATTACAACTTGTGCCACTGATCATATTTCAAAACCTGTGTATATTACAAAATAGAAATTAACTATAAACTTTATTTAGATAATTTTAGCGGTTTATGAACCTAAACGTAATTTTAGCAGTTCATGAATCGAGACATAAAAAGAAGAAACACTGAGAGAGATTAAGGCACATTGACAGTGTGGTCAGGAAGAGATGATGGCACCAATGAAACTAACATACACCTGCTTATTTGACAGAGGTGGTGACGTGCAAGGTCTACTTGGTAATAGTGGCTTAGAAATTACATATCTTAATGCAGGCATTGTTTGTACAGGTCAGGAATGGAGGGGGTGTTTCTGTTACATTCCTTTTGCTTCTCTCAAGGCCTCTTATCACCTTGTTAACAACCAGTAATAGTGTTTTATGTATTCTTGTAGGTGTTTGCAATCAACAGAGAAATGAACATAGTTGAAGAAAACAGATGAGTCAGAAAATACAACCCTGAGACACTATCACTCTTTTTTCAACTCAAATATTTTGTGTTGCCATTTCTTCATTATTATTATTGTTATTTTTATCCTTTTTATCTTACAGATCCATGTAAAGGCTCATTTTGACTATGACCCCTCAGATGACCCTTATGTTCCATGTCGAGAGTTAGGTCTATCTTTTCAAAAAGGGGATATACTTCATGTAATCAGCCAAGAAGATCCAAATTGGTGGCAAGCCTACAGGGAAGGAGATGAAGATAATCAGCCTTTAGCAGGACTTGTTCCAGGTAATGTGCAAATTAGTAGAAAGCACATAGTTACAAATAGTTAAAGAATATTTAAAATGCAAGCCTTCTGAAAGGAACTCATTTTTTCATGCCTTTTAAAAAGTGATGTAGTTGTTTTTTCATGTAGTTTGATCATTATGTTGTATCTGTAATATAAGTATCTTGAACAGAAGTCTGATCAATTTGTCACAATTCAAGTTATAATTGAATTATACATGTTTTTACTACTTGCACTGTAGAAATATTAAGATTACCCTGTTCTCAAGGCAAGAAAAATTTTATTGAACTCTTATGCAATAACAAATTACTATCTATTGGGCCATAAACTTGATTTCTAAATAAGAATTTGTCAGGATGCATCACTTTTTAAGGAATTAGGAGAGTAAAACCATGGAATGTATTTACTCCAAGATATCTTAGGGTAGAAATGGGGTGCTTCAAATTCTTCATTAAAGAAAATTGTTTTGCATTTAGACTAAACTAAATCTTAGCTCACATTGGACTTGGAATTTACTAAAAGAACATATTTCTTACAAAGAGTGAAGATGATACTTAAGAGAATGAAATGTCATTTTCCCTACAAGTTGTTCTGTAGTTCTCAGGATGGATGTAGTGTGGAGTGAGGGAAGCAGAAACAAGGGACATAAGATACACTAGACATGATAAAGGAATACTTATAGTATGATGAAATGGGACTAGGGTAATAGACAATAATTCATCAGTTTATTCATTCAACAAATACTATTAATCTGCAGTGTAAAAGTTACTTGACTTAGCACTAAGATAAGCTTCTCTTCCACATTGGACTTTAAAACATATTACCATATATGACATTAATACCTTAATTGTACATTAAAACAGTATGGATTTTTGGTTTTTGTTTCCTCTACTTTTGTAAATAGTTCCATCTTATTGTGTCTGTGTACTTCTATCTTATAGTCTCAGTTTGTAAGTTTCTCGCAGCCCTTTATAGCATCTTATTTATTCTTTTAAATCTAGGCAATATCTGTTAATAAATAAATGGTGATTTTTAAAAAAATGGTTCTGCTAGAACTACTGCTTCTGTATTAGACTTTCTAAGGCTCTTCTGTAACTTGTTCTGGTTTTGTCGTTTGCCTGTAACATGTCACCCCCTCCTACTCAAATCATAAGATCTTCAACATAAAAGATGGTTCACAACTAATAGATTTTAGAGAAAGAAGGAAAAGGAGGGCATGAAAACAATACTTAAAAATATTAAATATTAGATAATATAGTGGGAACAGAGGACATTGTCCAAAGACTTTGAAACAGTTTGTAAGGATTTCCTTCTGTCTCTGGAACTAAACCAAGGCAATTTTCTGAGTGACAAGAAATTTCAACATAGTATGTTCTTTTTGTGTGTAACATCACAAAAAGCCACAGATCATCAGCTTTAGAACCCAAAAGTTGAAAATACATTATCCATATTTAGTCATATTTCAAGAAAGGAAGAAAGGACTTTTCTAGTAAGCTTAGAGGATGATTCTTTAACCATTACAGAATATTTCTCTAAAATTCTGGAGTTACGGGTAGCCATCTTGGTTCCACTTAGTACTTGTGCCAAATATCAATTTGATATCACCATGCCAGCCATAGCCCTTAGATTTTTAAAACTAGTGTTTATTGACTAAGTGACTGCATTTGGTTTCTGAAAGTATATAGATGAGTCAAAGAGAGTTCATTGAATACCATTGATACCCATACATAGGACAAATAGACCTATAGTTTGAGTTTGATGATCATTTTCTGACAGATTTTTAAGAGATCATAATGTCCATGTCTCATCATTGTCTGTTTCTGTTTCAAAAGTACATATGTGTACTATAAAAAATGTGCCAATAAGTATATCACTGTAATATTTTTTTAAATGTAATTATTTATGCATACAAGAACTGTGGTGTAGGCCATAGGTGCAGGGGTGAGAGGATGCACCAGAGACAGAGTTGGGAGCATAACAGATGGATATACTGAAATACACTGCTGTGGGGAGCAGCGGGAAGACAGGAGAGTTCTGCGCCATGTGGGTTAGCTCCCTAGCCGGGGATCGAACTTGTGCTGCAGTGACTGACCAAAGCTTCATAGTGCTGAGACTTAACCCCTTGCGTGACCAGGGAGGCCCACTGTAATGTTTATTAACATTTTAATTTGTAAATGATTGAATTTAATTTTATTTTTTTCTAAATCTCTTAAACTTCATATATTTTTAAAGTGTTGATGCTCTTAAAATTTTCATTCTAGTCATGGTTTCTTGTTTTACTAGGAATACAATATGTAGATCTAAAGATAACCTGGTTTCTCTCAATGTTCCATATATATATATATATATATCAAGCTCAATATTAGTATTTTTTTGTTTTTAATCCTATGAAATGTATTGAATTCTATAGATTATCCCAACATAAATGAATGTTTGTTGATTTTTAAGAATCCAATCCCCAGCTTGAAATAGAAAGAATTATATATAAAAATTAAATATGAAAGTAGAATGCTAATCCATATTTTTAAAAATATAACTACTTTTGCCCCTCAAAAAAAAAAAGCATTTGTTTTCAAGATTGATATCTAAAAAGAACAGGGGGTCAGAAACCTTGGAAACCTCCTATGTTAATATTAATCCTGAAAGGAAAAGTATGTTTTTCATTTATTTGTATCATTGATAGCTTGAAGGTACAAATAAAAAATCATTAACACATATGCATACATACAAAGAAAAAGATGGATTGAGGATAATAAATGTAAGGTAATATATTGAGTGGTATCTTAGAATCAAAAATGATATTACTTTGCAAAGTCAACTCCTAGAATTAATTGACTTTGGTTTTAGATAATTCTGAATGATCAGAACCATTGTAAGATCCAGCATAACACTTTCCACATAATAGCTCAGTAAAAACTTTCAGAAATTGAACTATTACATTTTCTAACACTGGTTTATTTTTTATCCTTTCTAATAGATATATACTGTACTCTTCTAGTACATGTCAGGATATGTTGAGAGTGAGTTTAAATCATAATACTTTTTTATTTTTATTTCTTTTCTTTCTTTTTCTTTTTCTTTTTTACATCATTGTTCATTTTTAAACAATGTTTGCTTTCCCCCTTCCCCCTCAGGTGTAGTCCCATAGAATTTCCTTCACCAGTGCACCCATGCCACCATCACCACAGTCCCTGTGCTCCTTCCTCCCTCCCTCCTTCCCTCTCTCTGATCCCTCTCCCTCTTCCTCCCCTGCAGGATGTCTCTGATTTGTAATTGTCTGTTTTTGTTTTGTTGTGTTTTGTATTTTTTTTAAACACTGATGTCGTATTTGGTTCCCCTATATTCCTCATTTAAGTGAAACCACCTGTTATTTTTCTTTTTTCTTCTGACTTATTTCAATGAGCATAATTCCTTTTAGCTCCATCCACGTTGCTATGAATGGCATGAGTTTATCTTTTCTGTAAATCATAATACTTTGGATGCGTATAATCATAGCTGACATACTCTAATATATTGGTAGAAGAATTTAGAAGAGAATATAAATGAAGAGTTACTTCCGATATCTTCCACTTGATTTAAAAAAAACAAAAACAAAACTTCTGTTCTTTTGTCCTAAGTATTTTAGTTTTTTCTTTCTGCTTTTAAGGGAAAAGCTTTCAGCAACAAAGGGAAGCCATGAAGCAAACCATAGAAGAAGATAAGGAGCCAGAAAAATCAGGTTGGACATTTATATTTGATATATAGGAGAGATGTCTTGGGTCTCTATCTCAGCCATTTTTAAATGAACCTATCAGAACTGTCAAGGTGTATTCATGGCAAGAGAGATGTGAAAGTATCTTAACTGTTTATATTAGTTAAGATATAGTTAAGATTAGAACAGGATTTAAATACTCAAAATTACCTACATATACTATGACATTGATGGAAAACTAAATACTTCACTGAAAATATTCATGATTCTTTTTTAAGAACAATGTAATAAGTGTTTATAAATTTAAATTTAAGACTATTTGAGTTTTTCAGTTTGAAATATATAAGTTTGTATAGGGAAACAAAAACCACATTTATAGTTATGTTTATGATTGTTCAATAGGAAAACTGTGGTGTGCCAAGAAGAATAAAAAGAAGAGGAAAAAGGTCTTATATAATGCCAATAAAAATGATGGTAAGTTCTGTTCTTAGACACAGCTGGATTTATATCTGAAATAGGTCCAAATCTAACACATTAAACATATTTGGAAGTTTTATTTCTAGTTCTGTTTTGCCTCTTACTATAATATATATATGCGCTCAAGAAAGTCATTTAGCAAAAATGATTTTCTTTTGAAATCCTATGAGTAATGCATTGTTTTGAATTCTGAGAGAAACAGGCATAAAAATTAAAATACAATTTAGTATGTATAATGTTACATTCATAGTTTCTGCTAGGATTTTTTCCTAGTTAAGCCATGAAATTAATACATGCTGCTTATAATTTCTAGTAAAATAACTGTATTGCTGTAAAAATGAATATTTTTGTCTACAATAACTCGTGTCAAAAAGATGCCCTCATTTCATAGCGCCTGCTACCTGCTTCAACTGAGTGTTTCTATTTTAATTTCATTTATTGCTAAGATTAAAAAATTCCTTTAAGTTTTAGCTTCTCTTTAAAATAAAAAAGACTAATAAAACTGGGTTCTTATTCCCAAGTGACCACAACCTGTTGGACCTGAGTGATGTCTGTTACCTTCATGTTGGGCATCTTACACTCAGTAAGTTCAGTAGTCACCACATCCAATTTCTTATATACCCAACCTGATACCTTCTTTGTTGGCCTTAGCGGCATTAAAATTTGCAGTACCTGTTTTGGTTCATGTTAGAAATAAAAGAAATAAAGTAGAGGCACTACTTCTTATATAATTTATAGGACTTATTCTCTCTATATCTTGAAGTTTTTTTAGGCAACAAATTAATGAAAATTAAATGTTCTAAAATACTGAACTATGCAATATAAAACTATTTTTATTATTTATTTATATTTTTTTTAGAGGCATGCTTATTTATTTATTTGTTGTTTGTTTGTTTGTTCTGTTTACACATGCACTGGGTACAGTCAGAAGCGCGGGAGGGTGAGAGAATTCACCAGAGCCAGAGTGGGGAGCAGAGCAGGCAGAAGGACCGAAGTACACTGCTGAGGGGAGCAGCCGGCGGCAGGAGAGGTCTGCGCGCCATGTGGGACCCTCCTCCGGTGGCCAGGGAGCAGCCGGGATTGAACCGGCGCTGCAGAAGCCGCGGGCAGCTCGCAACCCAGCGCTCAACCGCTGCGCCACCGGGGAGGCCCATGCAATATAAAACTAAACCTGAGATTTAGTGCACTTTAAGAAAATATTTTCCAAAGTAAACATCTTTTAGTACAAACTTACAGATTATATAACTAAGAACATTTATTGAATTTTTAATCTTCTAAGGTTTCTGTTTCTTCACTTTTAAATATTTCTTCATCTTTTAAAACAGACTAAAATTAATTGCTTCAGCTCTATAGCTATTATTATAATATAGAAAACTTGCAAATCTTAGTCTGTACATAGGTAAACAAAATCTGTAATCAAAATGCTGTCACAATCTATCTGTATATTTAGCAGAAGGGGGAATTGAGATTTTTCAGGGGGAAAAACATTTTGGGAAAGGGGAGGAATTACAATTCTATTTCTGGTAGTGTCATTTCATTAATATTTTGTTAGTAATAACTTCATTTATAATTGTTCTAGTTCAGGGGCAATAACAATGTTTTAGTCACCTTCATGTAGTTCATTCTCACAATAAATTCCTTGAGACTCCAGGTTATAAATTCAAGTTCTGATATTAAAGTGACTGTCTTTAAGTTCTTATAACTAATATATGGTTGACCTGGAATTTAGACAATACAGTTTGAGCTCCTCTGTGCCATGCTCTGTCCTAAGCACTAGCAAGACTGAGATGATCCCTTGCCCACATGGAACTTATAGCTGAGTCGGGCTAAGTGTGCTCTTTTCCAGTCAGGATTAGTAATGTGAGGAAATGGCAGGCTGCTCATTGTTTGCTTTTGTCCTTATCACTCCACAACTCTTGTTTTATCTGGATTATTAGCTTTAAGAATGCTGCCCCAGGGCCTCCCAGTGACACAGCTGTTGAGTGCTGGGTTGCAAAGCTGCCCGCAGCTTCTGCAGTGCCGCTTCGATCCCCGGCCGCTGGGCGAGGGTCCCACATGGTGCACAGAACTCTCCTGCCGCCTGCTGCTCCCCTCAGCAGTGTACTTTGTCAGTCTGCCTGTTCTGCTCCCCACTCTGACTCTCACCCTCCCGCGCTTCTGACTACCCAGTGCTTGTATAAATAAATAAATAAATCTTAAAAAAAAAAAAAAAAGAATGCTACCCCACCTATCATAAGTTATCTATCTTGAATCATGGCCTTATATTAGTAGTAGTAGTATTCCCTCCAAAAAAGGTAAACATAAGTACAGAAAGTATAGGTAACATGAGTATGAACTGTTTTGAAGTTATACAATCACAGGCAAGTATTCCAGCTTTCTCTAAAAACACTGCTATAGCTACTATTTGTAAGTGTGCCAGATGCTGTGCTCTGCATATACTTTATTTCTGATCCTTAAACCAACTTATAAATAAAATACCCCCATTTTATAAAAATGACTTATTATTCTCATTAGTTTATCCTATGATGCCTCCTTGCCCCTGCCAAAGTATTATATAAGAACCAGTATCATTACATTATATTAAACATTCAAATACAGTATAAAATGAGAATTATTTCTAGAAGGATTAGTATGTTATCTGGTTTATTTTCATACTATCCTGACAAGGATGTAATGACATGGGGAAAATACTGCTCCATTATTACCATCATCCAAATATTTGAATGTTTTTTAAATAATATGTTGTACTTATTTCCAATTTTGTGATCTCTAAGTTTATATTTAGTACATAATTATTCCCTCTGATGGGCTTTTTCACTTCTTTTTGAAAGATTATGACAATGAAGAAATCTTAACTTATGAGGAAATGTCACTTTATCATCAGCCAGCAAATAGGAAAAGACCTATCATTTTGATTGGTCCACAGAACTGTGGCCAGAATGAATTGCGTCAGAGACTCATGAACAAAGAAAAAGACCGCTTTGCATCTGCGGTTCCTCGTAAGTTTGGATGCATTCCCATTTTCTTGTGCTTTTCAACTTTAACACCTTTAGAACCTAATTGTATAGAGCAATTTTTCATTCATTCCAGCAAAATAGTGTTGTCAAGGAAAGAGGAACTTCATTTTTAACCAAATCTTTTGGACAATTTATTACAAAGATAATCATTTTTGAGAAATTTGAAGTTTTTCCTAAGAGTGTGGTACAAGTTGTTTCCTAAATGAAGTTCAATTTGGTCCTCTTACAATTCCCAGTTCAATATGGAATAAGCTCCTGGTTCCTTAAATTGATGTAGAAGATAGAAATTTAGACATAATCTCTTAACATAGAAGTTTTATTTAAAGGTTATATAATTCCTGATCTTATGGAAATAGACTTTAGGGAAAGATGAGCAGTAGTGTTTTAAACTCAAGAAGTAATTTGAAATATGTGTAAAATATATTGTTAATTAAATGTAACTATTACTAAGATACTAAAAACATTTTCATTTCTCAGTATAGAAATAAAAATCAGTGCTAAATATTTGGCTATTAATATATCTTAATTCATACTGATCTGTATTACACAATAACTCAGAATTATCCCCGCTTCTCACTTACTTTATGCTCTTTATTTTCACTTGATTTTTGCCTAGATACCACTCGAAGTAGGCGAGACCATGAAGTAGCTGGTAGAGATTACCACTTTGTTTCACGGCAAGCATTTGAGGCAGACATAGCAGCTGGAAAGTTCATTGAGCATGGTGAATTTGAGAAAAATTTGTATGGAACCAGCATAGATTCTGTACGGCAAGTGATCAACTCTGGCAAAATATGCCTTTTAAGTCTTCGTACACAGGTAAAGCTGTTTCTGTTTAGAGTGTTGAAGGCATTTTTTGCAAAATAATTTGGTGGAAACTAGATGTTGATCCAAAACCCACAGAATCTAATTAAATTCTCATGCATTGTTTTCCCCACTTCCCCAGTTCCCTATGTGAAATCAGACAGGTTGCTAAATCTCTTTCGGTTTTTTCGGGGCGGGGGGGGGGAATTCACATATATCTACATCTATGCACATACATATTTTCTGAAACTAAAAATACAGTGACTGTAGTACTGGTTGTACTTTTGTATTTTAGACCTTAAGAATTCACCTTGTCTGAGAAAAATTAGGATATTTAGAGGTCATTTTTATGACTTAAAATGCCATTGTTCAAGTATATTATTAACAAGTATCATAATGAATCTTTGATTGTGTTTCATGAAACCACAACTGTTTTCTGTTACTTAGCAGTCTAAGCAAAAGCTTTGAAAATTAATAATAATTCCTTCTTAGATTTCGATTTTAAAAGATAATTGTAGAAATTAGAAGCTTTTAAGATTGTGTTTGTTATGGAATTTTTATTTTTCTAGACTATACAGTTTCAAAATAAAACTTTCCCTAATGTGATAGAATCTGCTATATATGTCATCTCAAGAAACATAGGCAATGATCATTAAAGAGTTAAGTGAGAATTGACTAAAATGGCTATCCTGAAATAGAAATTGGGTTTTCTTTGTTTAGTGGACAAATACTTAGTCTCCACTATTTCAATTATAAACATTTCACTGAAGAGAAGTATAAATATTTTTAAATTCCTTCAAGATTCCTTCTATTTTTTGAGCTAACAGGTTTACCAAAGAACTTAGAATAGTCAAGCATATGTCTTAATGATCGTAACAATGATTTTGGGTAGGAAAGGGCCTGTCCTTATAGTCCCCATCATGGTGGAGTGCTTCAGTTTAGGGACACACAGTTATGTAATGGCAAAGGCAAGGTGAAAACCATAACCTCCTAATTCAAAGTCTGGTTTTTCTTGAATGCATTATTACAGAATTTTCTTTTGCACATGTATGTGACATTTTCCTTTTTGATTCTGCTTGCATTTAAGTGCCAGGCACATAAGGTTAACTGCCTCTTGTCTCATTTCTCCAACAGAGTTTTTTTAATGTGATTATTATAGTCTATATGGGACCTTATTAGCAGAGAATTTTATAATTATATAGCTGCCATCCTTCAGTGTCATTCACCTAATATTTCATTATATAACAGCAACCCAATTAAGAGAGAGAGAGAGAGAGAGAGTGTGTGTGTGTGTGTGTGTGTGTATGTGTGTACATGTGTACTTTATAGCTATACAATTTAATCTTTCAGTGATGGGCAGGCTCTTACAGTATGAATTGTTTGTTACGAAGATGTTTGGAATATTCAGATAGTGTTTTTAAATATAGCATTATCATATTCTAGGTATATTGTTGGGAAGTTAAAGATGAAAATTATTTTAAAGATCTAAAATACCTCTTCTTTACAGTCTTTGAAGACTCTCCGGAACTCAGACTTGAAACCATATATTATTTTCATTGCACCTCCTTCACAAGAAAGACTTCGGGCATTATTGGCCAAAGAGGGCAAGAATCCAAAGGTAACATTTGTATACTATTGTACATTCCAACTGAAGATAACTATGAACATACTGGCCTGATCTGTCATGGTTCTTCGGACCTACATGATCTTAAACGTAAAGACTGCTTATTCTTTTTGCTAATTCACTGTCCCTAAAGTTGTGATGGTTACAATGGATTCTGATTAGACCATGGCAGCTCTCTAAAGCAGGGGGCTTTTTGTTGTTCTGCACATTCCCTGTTGGCATCCCGTTTTACTGCTTCAATCTTCTTCACATGGGTTTGTTATTTCCAAGAAGCATTAGGTGACACCCCAGCCCTTCCCCACAGAAAAAAGTTCTCAGCAGATTCTTAGGGATTACCCACTGTTTCCTGGAGACTTTTTGCGTCTGCTGGGAGCCAAAGTTAAGACTGTTGTTGCTTTTGTCTTCTTTTTTCTCATTGAAATTTTATGTTTTGTCCCTCTCTTTTGTCTTCTCATATGATCTTAAATGGAAAAAATACATTTTTAGATGTTGGACAAAGTTGAGGTCCATATTACGCTAAACATTAATATAAAATATTGACATTAGAAAACATTGACTTTTTATTTAAATGTGTGAAATGAAAGCTTTTACTGTATGTCAAAATAACAAATATTCTTCATTTCTTAAATATTTTTGTTTTATAGAGGTCACTTAGATCTCATTCATTTGCTGTGCTCTAAATCTCTTTGAAGGCCTGGAAACACATAACACTTCTGAAAAGTCAAGTATCACACTCCTTTCCTTTGGTTCTTGTCTGTTCACCACAGCCTCCAGCTCTCCTTTCCCATCCATATATCTTTTTCCACTGTAGGTTTACTTATATTTCATATTCAGTTTGTTTATGAAAAAAGTATTTCTCACTTAGGCTACAGATATCAGAGACTTCCCCATCCTACATGCTGAGCATAATTCTGGTTGCTTGTCTCGGCTAAGTAGGCTAGCTGGTTAAAGTAGTGTATCAGGATCCCTTTTTCATTTTTGCAGCACACTTGTACCTTCAAAAATGAGAAGGGAACGAACCAGTGCTGCAGAGGCTCTGGCCCTGGTGAATTCTCTCACCCTCCCGTGCTTCTAACTGTACCCAGTGCTTGTACAAATAAATAAATAAATCTTTAAAAAAAAAAATGAGAAGGGATCAGAGTATCTGCTGTCCTTAACACTTGAGAAAACACAAAAGAAATAGACATGGCTGCTGGCTATTCTTGAGGAGGAAACAAAGTTAATACTCAACAATAGTCCACAGTAACTATGTTGGTAGATAAGAAATACTATGGTTGCACAAGGAAATGGATGCACATTAAGGACCAGAGTGGACTTCATTCTACATGTTCAACCTAAATTTCTGTTTTCTAACATGCATATTTTTATTTTTAGGTTGTTTTTCTTCTACAAAGATTCAGTATCATGCCAAGGACAGTACACCCTCCCAAACATGTTAGGTGGCTTTCTTTTGATTGGCAGTCTGGTAGTTCTCACATGAGTTGTTTTAACCTACTTTATTTGGAATTGCCATCTGAAATTGAGTGAGGTCTAGAAAGATACTGTTTAGGCATATTATTAAAGTGGGAATTTAATCAGTATCAGAATGTTTTAAAAGTATACAATATACGTGATTTTCAATTAGAATTTTAATTTAAAAAATTAACCTTATTGGGGGTCAAGTATATGGTAATACCAGACTTGCTGGTAATCACAATGTGGTATTTACACATGTAGATTACATGTGCTATACCTGAAACATGCAGTGTTATAAACCAGTGTTACCTCAAAAAAGTCATTTAAAAAATAATGTAATAGGGCTTAAAAAAGTTAACCTTATTGAGGTATATATCACGTAAAATAAAATGTATGCATTTTAATTATACTTACATATAATAAAACACGAGTTGTGTCAAAATGTATACCTGTTTGACTACCATGCAAATAAAGATTTAGAACATTTTCATAACCTAGAAATTTTTTTCTTGCTCCTTTGAAGTTAATAGCCCTTCCATTCTTCCCCGGGTAACCATACTCTGCTTTCTGTGGCACTTTAGATTTGTTTTGTCTGTTCTAAATGTTAATAAAAATGGAGCCATATAGTGTGTGTAAGTTTTCATCTGGCTTTGATCAGCATAATATTTGTAGAACTCATCTGGGTTGCATCTAAAAGTGTATTATACCTTCTTTTTGCTGAGTGGTATCCCATGAGCTAAACATAGCACAATTTTTCCATTTATTAGTTAAAATGCCGTTTGAATTGTTTCCAGTTTTGAGCTACTATGACTGAAGCTGCTTTAAACATTCGTACAGTCTTTTGGCCAAAATATGTTTTCATTTCTCTTGGATAAATCCCTAGAAGTAGATCTGCTGGATCAAAAGTGGAGAGAGTGGGCATTCTTGTCTTGTTAGAGGAAAAGATTTTAATGTTTTAGCATTGAATATGCTAGCTGTAAGGCTTCTCATATATGGCCTTTATTATTTATACAGTTTTTATTATAAATGAATGTTGAGTTTTGTTAAATGCTTTTCTGGTATCCATTACGATGACCATATGATTTTTATCCTTCATTTTGCTCATGTGTTTTCTCATTGGTTGTTTTGCAGATGTTGAAACATCCATACATCCCTGGAATAAATCCCACTTGTTAAGGGTGTATGATCCTCTTAATATGCTGCCAAATTACTAGTATTGATAGAGACTTTTTGCATCATATATTCATTGGGGTTATTGTATCTTTGTCTAGTTTTGGTATCAGGGTAATGCTGACCTTGTGAAATAAATTTGGAAACATTCCCCCCTCTTCAGTTCTTTTGGAAGCATTTGAGAAGGATAGGTATTAAATCTTCAGATGTTTGGTATAGTTCACTGGTGAAGCCATCTGATCCTGGACTTCTGTTTTGGGGAAGTTTTGGATTACTGTTTCAATCTCCTAACTAGTAAATCCATCTATTTAGATTTTCTTTTTCTTTGTGATTCATGATTAGAAGATTGTATGATTCTAAGAATTTATTTTGAAGTAGTTGTCCAATTTGTTGTTACATATATGTTCATAGTAGTCTCATGGTTTTTTATATTTCTGTGTTATTGGTTGTAACTTCTTTCATTTTTTATTTTATTTGAAACTCTTTTTCTCTTGGTGAATGTAGCTTAAAGATTTGTCAATTTTGTATATCTTTTCAAAGAATCAGCTCTTATATCGATCTTTTTTTTTTTCTATTGTCTTTTTGGTCTCTTTTTCATTTATTTTTCACTCTAATATTTTTTTGTTTCTGCTAATTTTGGACTTTGTTCTTTTTATAGTTCCTTTAAATATAAAGTTTACCTTATTTGAGATTTTTCTTATTTCTTGAGGGTAGGCTTGTATTGCTGTGTATTTTCCACTTAAAACTGATTTTGCTGTATCCCATAGATTTTGGTGTATTTTTATTTATCACTAATTTTTTTTATTTTGCCTTTGATTTGTTGATCCAGTAGTAGTTCAGTGGTATGCTTAATTTCTAAATTTTTATGATTTTTTTCCAATTTTCTTATAATTGATTTCTAATTTCATAGCATTGTGGTAAAAAAAAGATGCTTAGTAAGTTTTCAATCTTTGTAAATTGAGAATTGTTTTGTGGCATAATGTGATCTGCTGTGCAGAATATTCTATGTATACATGAGAAAAATTTATGACCTGCTGCTTTTGGATAGAATGTTCTGTATATATCTATTAAGTCCATCTGTGGGGATACAGTTGTAAACCCCACTGGCCTCCAGATCAGGTGATTTTGGGGTGTCCCCCTTGGAGATAACTGTTAAGAATCAGAAGGCTAGTAAATGCTAGTATGCATGCTCCTTTCTTGTAGTTACCAGTGAGACTTAACAAGACCTAGAGCAAGCGCAACGATGCATGCCCCAGCTTACAGCCTGAGAGCTCCTCTGGCTTCAGTGGAGCCGCAGGCTGGGCAGGAGTGTAGTGCGTCCAGCAACATTAGCAAGATAAGGGAAACACTACATGGCACTCACCAGCACCTCAGTACCCAGAGAAAGTTCCAGCCGACGATTGCCCCCGGCAGATGCTAAGATTAGCTAATGAATCTCCTTCATGATGGTGTAGGCACTTTTAAAATTGCCTTTATATAGGTTCTCAGGGTGAGTGAATCTGCATGTTCCCTTTAAGAGCAGATTATCCGTTCCCCACTGACTTTTGGGGTCTCCAGTTCATAAGTATTGTTGGTTTTCAAAGCCAATTGTTAACAGGGCTCGGAAAGAATGTTCTTTCTCCAACCCAGATCCAAGGGTTACGTGAGGTGGGCATGAACCCTCATTTCTCAGGGAGAAGCTCGGCATTTGTGAGATACCACTTTTAGGTTACCACTCTGGAAGTGGGTATTTTTATTTGGTGAGACCACGTCTGCCTCTGCCTCTCCTACCTATTTCATTGTGTGGTTGTTGTTGTGGAGAATCTGTTCCCATTTTCAAATATTTTTCACTGGGAATTGTCCCATATGCAGCTGTATATTTGGTGTGTCCATGGAAGGAGGCGAGCCCTGGATTTTCTTGAACTGCTCCTGTCCTCCCTTTGTATTTTTTCTTAATCCTATCATTTAAGATCAGAAAAGTTTAATAAAGTACACTTTTTTATTCTTCTTAAGGTTAATGATTTTTGTGCACTCTGGAAATTTTGCCTACTCTGAAAGAATATTTACCCTATGTTTTCTTCTAAAACCTCTTAATTTCTACTTTTAGATCTATGATCCCTCTCTTTTTAGATCTATGATCCCTCTACTTTTAGATCTATGTTTGGTTTAATGTGCAGCAAGGTTGATTATTTTTTCTTTTAAGCCATGTTTTGTTTATAATCACGTCAATAACCAGTTTCTCTAGCATCATTTCTTAAAAAAAAAAATTATGATTTCTCCCATTGAATTACATTAGTCACTGTTGTCAAAAATGACCTGATCAAATATGTCTGTGTGTGGAGTTGGAGTAGAATTATTTCTGGACTCTCTTCAGTATTTATGCTGATAAAGTGTCTTAGATTACTGTAGCTTTAAGTCTTGAAGAACAGATATAAGAAAGAACGGAAAGTTACTGATACATGCTACTACATGGATGACGCTGAAAACAATTTAAAGGAAAGAAGCCAAAAAGAACCAATGATATATGATTCCACCATGTGGAATGTCTAGAACAGGCAAATTTATAGAGATCTAAAGTAGATTAGTAGGTGCATAGGGCTGAAGTTTGGTAGAAAATAAGGAGTGATTGCTAATGGATATGGTTTATTTTGTGTAGAGGTGATGAAAATGTTCTCAAATTGAGATGTTGATTATACAACTCTGTAACTCCACTGAACACTATTGAATCATATACTTTAAATGGGTGACCTGGGTGACTTACAAATTATGTATCAAGAAAACTGTTACTGAAAACAAAACAAAAAAAAATCTCAGCGGTCTTTCCTGTAGAAATTTGGATTTTTTAAATTTATATGGAAATTAAAAACCAAATCTAGGGCCTCCCCGGTGGCGCAGCGGTTGAGCGCTGCATTGTGAAGCTGCCCGCGGCCTCTGTAGTGCCGGTTCGATCCCCGGCTGCTCCCCAGCCACCGGAGGAGGGTCCCACATGGCGCGCGGCCCGCTGCTCCCTTCAGCAGTGTACTTCGGTCCTTCTGCCTGCTCTGCTCTCCCTTCTGGCTCTGGTGAATTCTCTCACCCTCCTGCGCTTCTGACTGTACCCAGTGCTTGTATAAATAAATAAAAATAAATCTTAAAAAAAAAATGATTAAAAAAAAACCAAATCTATCTTAAAATTGGAAGACTTTTATCTTCATTACTTTATTGACTGTTTTCTACTTAATTGACTTCTGCTTGTTTTTATTTTTTTCCTTATATTTATCATAGTTTTAGTTTGTACCTCCTCTAGTTTCTAAAGATAAAAACTTAATTTTTAAGACATTCTTATTTTCCAGTATAGACATTTGAAGTTAAAAATACCCCTCTAAGCATTTAAGTTACATCCCACAAATTTGGAGGTTTTTTTTTTTGTTTTTTTTTAAAGATTTATTTATTTATTTACAAGCACTGGGTACAGTGAGAAGCGCGGGAGGGTGAGAGAATTCACCAGAGCCAGAGTGGGGAGCAGAACAGACAGACTGACGAAATACACTAAAGAGGGGAGCAGCTGGCGCGGCAGGAGAAGTTTGTCGCACCATGTGGGACCCTCACCCATGGCCCGGGAGGCTGCCCAGCGCTCAACCGCTGTGCCACCAGGGGAGGCCCAGAGGTTGTATTTTTCATTATCATTTTGTTTCATTATCATTTTGTTAGAAATACTTTCTAATTTCCCTAGTCTTTATCTTCTTTAACCCATGGGTTATTTGGAAGTATGTGTTTCCTGCCTGTTGAGATTTTAAAAAAATATCTTACTGATTTATAATTTCATTGCATTCAGAAAACTACTCTGTAAGATGTGGATCTTTCAAAATTTGCTGAGCCTTATTGTATGGCTCAAATCTGGTTATGTGTTCCATGCACACCAGTAATACATCTACAGTTGTTGGGTGAAAGGTGGTGTTTTTCATTGCCTTTTATTCCACTTACATTTTTTCTCCTTATTATTTCCAGCATTGTTTCAACATGACTAATAAAAATGTCAAGTAAAAACAAATCCTTGATTTTAACTCTATGAAATTGTGCTAACTAGGAAAGTGAAGATGTTACTCAATTGTATATAGAATGTACGCAATCATTTGTCCTTTTATCTGTTCTGCTAAAATGGGGAGTTAGAAAGTAGTGAAGTGATAGTGTAAACTGATGTGGTCAATTTTTAGTCCAAACTTTTTCAAGCAAAGACCTCTTGGTGCTTAACATTTACATTTCAACACTAGCACCACAAAGTTTAGATTCTGTTTTGAGTTCTGGAATGTTCTTTGAGTAATCTTGAGTTTTGAGAAGACACTTAAGAATGTTAGTGTGTTCAGTTCCATGGTGTAGTAGAGTCCTTGCTAGGGAACAGAGGATTCTATGTGCCATAGCCAGATATACCGCATTCCAGAATGGAAATAGCCACACAAGAAAGTGCCTCAGGACAAGCCAGAACTGTCATATTTTTACTGTTTTCCTACTGTTATAAAAGTTCAAGCAATTGAATGATAAGAATTGTTTTTGTATTATGGGCCTAATATACTACTAATATGTGTTACTTGCACATCTGAGAACTTTTGGATTTGACTTTAATTAGTTCTCTTCTTGACAAGGATGATTTTAGGGGAGATTCACTTTCTTGAACATGTATACCTAATAATTGAAGGGTTTTAGAAAAGTTTTGCCCATAGCTTTGCCAGCTGTTTCCTTTGTCCACTATTTTAAAGTAGCCTGCTCTGAAATTCTTAAGATACCTTTTTGCATCTCAGAAACCTCCTTTGTATATTGAAAAGAGGGAAGCAATTTAAAGTATTAAGCGGAGTATTTGACCAGCGGTGTTTTTATAGAAAAAGCTATCTATTCTATTCTTTTATTTTCCCATGTTTACTCTCTATAACAGCTGTAAACGGCAAGGGCTCTTTATAAAAGTCAAATGTAGATGGTACTTTGGGTCCTGCCACCCATAACTCCAACCAGGAAAATTCACTCTGTTAAGAAGGTGTTATTTTTAGGAAGAGGTCACGGTGCCCTAAAATATTTGAAAATATTTGCTCTTGAAGCCTCTAGACTTGAGGTTAAGACAAAAATATGTGAAAACCTAACTAGCAGTATAAAACAGAATCTGAGTCCTAAATGATTCACATTGTGAGTCCTGAAGATGCCAAAGCAAAGGGAACCACCATAGCCTTGGCAGAGTTAGGGAGTGAAGGGGAGTTTCCAAAGTTGTTAAGAGAGATGAAGGAAAGTTAAAGTCATTTCTTGATGTCTTTGTCTCTGACTCATGGTATATTTTGATAAGGATTAGAATTACCTCACTGTGTTTTAATCTTCTCTTTGCAGCCTGAAGAGTTGAGAGAAATCATTGAGAAGACTAGAGAGATGGAGCAAAATAATGGCCACTTCTTTGACACAGCAATAGTGAATTCAGATCTTGATAAAGCCTATCAGGAATTGCTTAGGTTAATTAACAAACTTGATACTGAACCTCAGTGGGTGCCATCCACTTGGCTGAGGTGAAGGAAACATCCATTCTGTGGTATGAATGAAGTTGATTTGGCAAATTGCCCATAGAAAGATAGCCTTGATACTTCAGCTCTGAGGATACCATGGCATGCAGTATAAGCTGTAGACCTATTCTTAGATCTTAAACTAGTGAGAAGTTCCCTTAGGCAGTTTGTGCACAGCAGTCTTTATTCTCTGTACATGACTTTAGAGGTTCTTGCCTTATTTGGGGATTCTAACAGAAGCTTTCAACATAACAGTTCCATTTTATCCATGTTCACTTTTTTCTGCCTAGTAATATTTCCATGAAAAACATGTATATAACAGTCCATGTCTCTCAGAGTTATAAATATTGGTGTTCTTTTAACAATTAATTTAATGACCTCAAGGGAATGGGGGTGGGGGACACTGTGTTTCTGTGTACTGGACAAGATAGTACTTGGTTGGTTAAAAGACTGGTTTAGTCATCAGAAATACTATTCTGAAGGAAAAAGACAAAATGGTGCCATTTGGGTCTGGAGCTACTCTGTTAGACTTCATTAATATGTTTTCAATTTTGGAAAAAAAAAAAAACATTCCGTTAGATGTACTGGTTTTTTAGCTCAAACTTTGTGGATCAAACTTCACTGCACATTCAGCAGACTCTGAGCTAGTGAAAACATATACAACATATGCTTATCTTTTTAAAAATATGATTTTCTGAATTTTAAATTGTCAAAACTAATTTGATAACCTCACTTCCTTTATCTGCTCTGCATAGTACAATATTTTTATGAATGACGTGTTCATATAGTGTTGACTTAAGTTCCTCATGATGCAAATAGATTTTTATATACATGAGGACACAGGCTATTTGACAGTTTTGCATTTTTACATAAGCACAGTATAATTTGACTGTGCTATATATAGGTAATAAACTGGAATTCTGTGATGAATATAGCTGCTGTACTATATAATATTTAACAGATTTGATAGATGTTCATTGATTATACATTATACTTGTTCAGCATTGGAATAAAATTACATCCTAGGAAATACCATGACAATTGACTTTTAGATCAGAAGGAAAGGACGACCTGAAAGTCATTTGAACATTTTAGGAAAAGAAGATGGGGGTGGGGGGTTGGTTATTTAGCACACAGAAACAGTTCTGTGTCGTAACAAGATCTGCCTCTTATAGCCAGAATGGAACAGCTTGCTAAATCATGTTTAAGCTAACAGGATTTTCGTACTGTTTCTTTAGCTGTAGCTTTAAAATTCAATTTCTGTAAATGGCATGGAAAGTTGTAGTCTTTTCATGCCTTTAGAGATGGTGTGATGTGTGACAAACAACCTTAAATGTGAATGTCTTGATTTTATTTTTATGAAGATTTTAACTACAGCATTTCCTGTTCCCAAAGCTAAACACTGGAATAATATTGAGTTGTCACTTAATTTAACATAGCAATTGTTTTTAATAGATAGTGTGTCTAAGTGTTATATATTTGATTTTTTTTCTCTTCCATATAAGTTTATTTGAACATACTTTATATGTTGCCTTTTTCTGTTCAAATTCACATGGCCTTGAAGTCAACCGGGGAGTATGTCTTACAGGGAAATATAGTAATTCCTTAGGAAGAATGTCACATTCCTGAGAGAAGGGAAGGATGCCATCCATATGGTCTAATACACTTCAGTTTATGGCATGAAAATGTGAAGGTCACACTGATCTTCCACACTGAAGGGCAAGGAATATAAGCACTTAATTTCCAGTTTTCCAGATTACTTTCTCCTCAGGAATGAAGGGCAGTCCTTGGAACACAACGGAATTTTGTGCGCTGCTTATAATAACTGACAACTATTTTAAAAGCTAAGATCTAAAATTTTGGCAGTTTAAGTTAGACTGAGATTTTAGGTAGTGTCAGTTTGTGGCTTGTGCCAGTCCCAGTCTGCCATACTGTGGCCACATACTATTAAGATGCAAATAGTTTTAATAAGCAGATCTCCTACCAAGTCACATGCCATGCCATACTGTATTTTCGTGAAGTCTAAGGTGACAGGAGATAGTTTAGGGTTTGTTGAAGTCCTGTAGTTCTCTCCTTCCTCATCAGAGTAGTAGAGGGATAAAAATGTTTTTGTCCCAAACTTTTCTCAAGCCTAGTGAATGGATGTGCTGATATTCAACACAGTCCCTAAACAAAGTGAAACTGAGTTGTTGCTGACTTCTTCAAAGACAGACAGAAAAAGCCTTGCTATATCTCCAGCTGCTCTCGCCACTTCCATTTCCTGTCCCTCACTGGTTCTGAGACCCCAGTGTGAAGGTCTTACCCACTTCTAGGAATGCTACCATCAACTAATGCATATGGGAAATCCAAATAAGGAAATAGCATCCTTTGATAAATTTTCTTAAGTCAGAACAAACATAAGGAGAATAGTATTTAGACTAATCCAGATTTGCTTTCTATGAAAATCTAATGTCTGGATTTTTTTCCCCTTTTCATATGGTCTAAGGAATAAGTATTGTTAAAAATGATTTGAATGTAATTTTGTGAATGTGTGTGGAAAATATAAACCAGGGATTTAGCCTTAATAATAAAGGTAACCTTTCTGGCATCTATTGTTAATCTGCCTTTGTACTCTTACCCTATATCTACACTCTGTTATTTTGAGAAGTCATACTGCACACTGTATTATAAAATAAAAAGTAAAATTATATTTGAAATTTAAAAGAAAAAGTATTTTCTCTTGCTGTGCTTATGTCCTTAGCCATACAGGGTTTTAACACATCTAATGACTACCCAGTGTTCAAGTTTTTGCCAGAAGTAAATCCATTGAAACCTCAAAATGAAGCCTTTTAATTTTGTTCTTCACAGTGGGGGTGGAGGGTGGTGCCCCCTGTTGGCAGAGATGTATGTTCCGTTTCCTTAATTGTTAAAAACAAACAAACAAAACCCTATATTAAGACAAACAAGGCTGTGAACTTGAAAGTATTCTGGAGAGGGTATGTAATACTTGGGAAAATTATGATTATATGCAGCCAAGGATTTGGGGACACTGAGCATAGGATATGACTTATTAACAAATATGTAGTTCATTTCTCCATTTTTCATTTCTCCCTTTTTCTTCTAAACCACTCAGTCTGCCAAAAGAAGGAAAACATCCAACAGTTTCACACATACACACATGCTGCCCTGGTCCACCTTTCTACTCCTATTCCTGATCTGTTCCTGTGCATCAGAGCACCCCAACCCCACACAACAAATTGTCCACTATTTTCTCCTGATTTCTTAACAAATTTTATGCTATACCATAAAATCATTTGCACTTCTGTAGGAAGTTTAGCCAAAGCCAATAACTAGAGTTTTAAGAAGCCACAGGAGAAATGTAGGGCACTTTGGCTCAACACTTTTAATGTAAATGTTGAATTTACTTAAAGACCCTAAATAATCTGGTTCTCTGTACCTACCTTTAAGCCAACATTTGCCTTCAAGAACGATAGTACATACTGCGTAAGAACCAAGGCTCTGAAATCAAGAGGCATTTGGTCTGCATATCAACTGTGTTGTCTCACCTGAAAAAGCCTGTTTACTCATCTGCAAAATGGAGATATTTAACACCTCACCAGGGTATTGGGAAAATTAAATGTTAAGCAGTTAAATATTGCCTATTTTCAAAAGACTTGTGAACTCGATGTTTTTTCCCCCAAACACTACTAAGTTTACATTTAATCTAAGACTTTATTTGGTGTACAAGATTTCCTAAAAATCAGCTCCTCAAGTTAGCTCCTGTCTTAGCTTCAAATACAAGTCTGAAATATGGTGAATACAGAAAGGATGTAAGTTAAAAGTATAAATTCTAGAGGTAGACTGCCTGGATTTAAATTCTAGAGAGATATATATATACCTGCTTCTAGATTTCTTATCTAGGACCAATTATTTAAGTTAAACTTAAATTATTTATTTTTAATTTTTAATCCTCGGTGGGATTAAAAATAATATATACCACTTATTGTGATGATGATATAAAAAACCTGGCACATAACTAAGATCTATTATTTTATAGGTTAATGTTTGCAGAACTATTTTTTAAAAACCTCAGTCACCTGATATGGCCACTCAAATACTTCATCTTATATAAAAGATAGCAAATTATAAAATAGTGAAAGTTGTTACTTATTCCTAATTTGGAATTACTATTTTTTCCACAGATTGGGAAAGAAGGAAGTATTAATAAACTTAAAACACTGATAATTGAAGGAGGGGGACAGAGGGAGAATACCCACCTCCTACGTGTCTGCAGAGGAAGCTCTTTGCAGATGACAATCCCATGTGCTGAGCATAAGAACATGATTAGAACAGTCCATTTTAAAACCATTTTACTCTTTATATCATAGTTACATTTAAATTGGCAGAACTGCTGCCAGGACAGGACAGAGATCTGTCATGCACGAAAATTAGGTTTTCAGAAAGCTTGAGGAGAGAAGTACCACAGTAACACAAGGATAGCTGCATCAATCTCAAGACAGCCCCAAGGTCTGAAGTGGGTAGGAACAAAGGGTGCCCAGCAGTAGTTGGCCTACATGTGCTGACCTGAGACACTGCTGTTTCCTAATGGGTATTTTCTAATGATAAATGGATCATTTGAAACACAGATGTCAATGGAGTAGGGAGACACTTCAGAGTAAGTGCAGACACTGCTATATGCTCCTGCGATGTTTCTACAAATCTCATCTGTGATAAACGATTGCTGAAATGTGTTTCCACAAAGATGACCCCATAAGTGGAAATCTTAGGCCAAAAAATAAATAGCCACACATACCAAATCTATACACCATGAATGAGAATGGTGCCATGTTAGGGTTTCAGAAAGAACCACAGCAAGAAAGATTATTCAAACAAAAGATCCTCATCTTTCTCTTCAGCCAGAAGATTAGCAGGCTCCGGCACCTCTCCAGCTGCCCTTCGTTGTTCCAAATCCTTCTCAGATTTTTCCTTGAGAACTTTTTTCTTCTCCTGTATTTTCTTTAACCTATAAAACATAGGGCATTTCCTGAATGCTGTTTGAGTACTAAGGTTTGATTTCTCCTAGTTTGCAAGGAGAAACATCTAAAACTAAAACAAAATGTCACCTTTATTTCAGTATTTATAAACCATTTAAAGAAAAAAGATTTGAGGTAGGATGAATACATATTTTAAGTTAATAACTGATTTCAAAAGTTCCTAATTTGATGGAGTAAACTTTCAAATCCATTTCCTGATAATGGAACAGATTTTGAGCATTCAGACAATTATAAAAATTGGATCTTTCAATTTGGACCACCACCACCATGGTAACAGACAAAAACTTTGATGGATGAAATTACACCCGTGCTCAGGCTATTTCAGGATCTGAGGTGGTCCTGTCTTCCCCGAATACGCCTGTTTTCACCTATCTCCCACTTCTCTGAACCTCATACACTATCTATGTAATACTTACTGTCCCTACTCGCTTCAAATGTTCACAACCAACTCATGCACCTGTATAATTTCTCCCCAAGTACTATGCTAATTCTCTAAAGGTTTATATTATTTAATAATGCCCCCAAGTACTTAATACTTACTCCTGGAACATACCCAACTTGTTGACTGATGCATTAATTGCAGTTCCCTTTTATGTGGGAGACACTTAAATCACTGTTTCATTTTAAAGACTAATCAAGTCAATTAATAGCTTCTCTGACAGAGACTAAGTTTTTGGAGACATCATTTCTTAGTTCTATGTAAAAGCTGGCATAGGTTTTTCTCTGTACCCTGTAGCAGTATTATTTCTTGCTTCTTACTAGGTTAAAATCAGGCAGTGCTGCTAAAGAATACAGATCAACAAGTCTAAGCAAATTGAGCCTTTAGAATATGGTACACAAAAATGATCAGTAACTGCCAATTCCAACAAACCTGTAGAACTCTTCTCGTTCTCTCTCATCCAGCTCCGTGATGATATAAGCAAGGGTACGTTCAATCCGGGGAATGATAACTAGGGTTTAAATGTATGTGTATGTTAAAAATCATGAGGGCATCTAACCTTTTTTACAAATTACCAATATTCATTTATATAATATTTACCTATTTTTTCTAATTATGTAGTTAAAGTACAGTTAATACAGAAAACACAAAGAAAAATGAAATATAAAACAACCACCAAAAAGTAACCGCTGTAAATATTCTGTTATGTGCCCTTCTAGTGTCTTCTATGGAGATACAACATTGGACCATGACATATACAATAGTGAATACATTGAATTTATATAAATACATTAAATCACAGAAGTTGAATATAATAGCAACCTACTATTAAAAAGTAGAGAGCATCAAGCCGAGAGAATGCATGAGATCAGTTTTGTGTTAGTCATAGAATTGCCTGTTCTGCTTCTAGAACTTGAATTCCTTGAGAATGGAATTGTTTTGCTGGCAATTCCATGTACAGGGTATAAGAGCAGCAAGCAGAAAGGAAATGTATTTTGAGTTTTTTAAAAAATGACAATTTCCTAAAACTGAGGCCCATGTAAAATAATTTCTTTGCTATTCAAATGTTGCTTTTTACCTTAAAAGTGAATGTTTCTTTAATGAAACAATTTCTTGAGCAACAATAGTGTCAACATAAATACTCAATTTTTATTTTATTTATTTATTTTTTTTAATAGAGGCATGTTTTATTTATTTATTTGTTTTGTTTGTTTGTTTGTTTATACATGCACTGGGTACAGTCAGAAGTGCGGGAGGGTGAGAGAATTCACCAGAGCCAGAGCGGGGAGCAGAGCAGGCAGAAGGACCGAAGTACACTGCTGAGGGGAGCAGCGGGCGGCAGGAGAGGTCTGCGCGCCATGTGGGACCCTCCTCCCATGGCAGGGAGCAGCCGGGGATTGAACCAGTGCTGCAGAGGCTGCGGGCAGCTTCGCAACCCAGCGCTCAACCGCTGCGCCACCGAGGAGGCCCAATACTCATAATTTTTAAATGATGAAAGAAGAAATGGAAAATAAATGCACCAATTGGAAAGATTTCTTTTTAGAAATCAATGAGAACAGGACAAATTCTCAACAAAACATCTAAGGGAGAGGAATTCAAAGTTAAGTATTTAATGAGTTCAAAATGATATATCACTCAAAATCATTGGGAAGAACTAAAGAAAAAAATAGAATTTCCACCCTTCATTCACGAATAACCAAAAGCTAGTAAACCATTCAGTACTTTTTCTCACCACTCCTCTGTAACTGCCCCCAAAACATACACATACTTCCAGGAGAGCATTTCATACACTTTCGTACTGACGCACTGCCCTTCTTACTGTGAACGGGGACAATGCCTTCGTCGCCTGGAGGCAGGGAGAAGATGAAAAAACAGCCTCACTGCAGCTTATACTCACCATGTTCAATGGCATTTACACGCCTGTTGGTTATCTTAATAGCTTCATCCAAAGTAACAAAGGACGTCTAAAATAGAAGACAAATTAAAAATGTAAACACGAAGTCATCCTAATCGTGTCCTGTTCACTTGACTCCACACAGATAGCACTTGGAGAGAACATTTAGAAACCAAGACTTTCAACATGCTTAAAAGTGCTTCTAACATTTCCAGAGAGCTAATACTACTTCCACACTATATCTCATTCTGCAGCCTCACCTGAAGTTACAAGAGGGAGTTATACACTACTAGGCACAAAGGGGAGAAAATGTTTTGATGCATAGGCCATGTTACATTTATATTTAAATCACGTAAGAACCGGGGCCTCCCCGGTGGCGCAGTGGTTGAGTGCTGGGTTGTGAAGCTGCCGGCGACCTCTGCGGCGCCGGTTCGATCCCCGGCTGCTCCCCGGCCACCTGAGGAGGGTCCCACATGGCGCGCAGACCTCTCCTGCCACCCGCTGCTCCCCTCAGCAGTGTACTTCGGTCCTTCTGCCTGCTCTGCTCCCCGCTCTGGCTCTGGTGAATTCTCTCACCCTCCCGCGCTTCTGACTGTACCCAGTGCATGTATAAACAAAACAAACAAACAAATAAATAAATAAAACATGCCTCTATTAAAAAAAAAAAAAAACATTTTTAAATCACGTAAGAACCATTGCTGTTCTCACCTAGCAAAAAGTGAGAAAATACTAAACCACTGCAAATGTTTTGTTAGTAATAAAAAGTAGAGACAATGATACAGAAACCACCGTTTCAGAAATCAAAAGTATCTTTGACTTGCTTCACATAGGTATGGCAGAGCAGTACACGCTGACTCAAATCTGAATCTCCCCCCCTCACCGATTAGAAATTAAACCACAAGAGGTGAGCTCTTTGGCTGCTTACCTGCAGTGAAGCTAGTTCCACCAGTAGTTCCACTGCTTTGGCATAATTCCTCTTTAATTTAGCCAACTGCTCCCCACCTCTGGCTAAACCAGTCAGTTCATAACCTGAAAGAACCAGTCAGACAACATTTGTAATTAAAAAGGAAATGATCCCATATTAATCCCCAAAAGATGATAAGTTAGAATAATGGCAAACATGGAAAAACAAATTCAGGAGCCCCTGTTACGTGTAAACAGAGTGCTCATTCCATTCCTTAATGTAGGGCATGCTGCCGAGAAAAGTTTTGCACAAGGATGCTTTTCTAAATATAACTATAGGAGAAGCTTTTAACTTCATTTCACCAGCTTGCTGGATTAACCAGTGCACCCCCTTCCCTTTGTAGATGATATTGCCTGATGCCCACAGTAGTGACTCTCAGTTAATAGGTGACTCTCTATAACGCTTAACTTCTGTATTTAAACTGCACAACTATTCTATGTGAACCAACAGGTGCACAGAAAGAACACTGTTGTTCCTGTTTTTAAAAATGTTCATTACTGGGGGCCTCCCTGGTGGCGCAGTGGGTTGAGCACCACGCTGTGAAGCTGTCTGCAGCCTCTGCAGCACCGGTTCAATTCCCAGCCGGCCAGGGAGATTCCCACATGGCGGGGCAGACCTCTCCTTCCTTGCCTGCTGCTACCCTCAGCAGTGCATTTTGGTCCTTCTGCCTGTTCTGCTCCCTGCTCTCTCTCTGGTGAATCCTCTCACCCTCCCGCATCTCTGGCCTGTACCCCAGTTCTTATATAAATAAATCTTTTTTTAAAAAAAATGTTCCTTACTGAATCCTGGTTCAACTAAAAGGAAAAGACAGCATCAGATGAGGTTTCCTGCTTCCCTCCTGGGAGGCACTAGACCCAGTGCATGCCCTTACTTGGGAGGAAACAAGAGCACCTCTTGGGCATCAGAGACAAGCACTAACTGTTCCAGAAGGGAAACTGAGGAAATTCAACTCTATACACCCAGTGGTTGGAGTGAGATATTTAGAGACTGCAAACAGGTGGGGAACTTGCTGAGCAACCTCCGGAGCTGTGCAATGTGTTAAGAGGGCAGCCCTGGGGAGGGGAGAGCAGAGGAGCATGGAGGCACGCCCTGACTGAGGGGAGACAGGAGAATTATGTATAACCCACAAGCTATGTAAAGGAAAAGACTAACAGATTTGACCAAATACGAATTAAGAAACCACTTGCTTTAAAAGGTAAGCGAAAGACTTGAAGATTTTTTTTTTTAAGACTTATTTAGTTATTTATACAAGCACTGGGTACAGTCAGAAGTGCGGGAGGGTGAGAGAATTCACCAGAGCCAGAGTGGAGAGCAGAACAGGCAGAGTGACGAAGTACACTGCTGAGGGGAGCAGCGGGCGGCCAGAGAGGTCTGCACGCCATGTGGGACCCTCGCCAGCGGCCGGGGATCAAACCGGCGCCGCAGAGGCTGCAGGCAGCTTCGTAGCTCAGCGCTCAACTGCTGCGCCACCAGGGGAGGCCCTAGACTTGAAGATATTTTTAGCATTTTACCCACCAACAAGAATATATACATAAATTCTAGAAAATGAAAAATTGTTCATCATCATTTATTGTCAGGGAAATACAAATCAAAACTACAATAAGAGCCTCCCCAGTGGCGCAGTGGGTTGAGCACAGCGCTGTGAAGCTGTCCGCTGCAGTGCAGGTTCGATTCTCAGCCGGCCAGGGAATTACCCACATGGCGCAGCAGACCTCTCCTGTCTCGCCTGCTGCTCCCCTCAGCAGTGTGTTTCAGTCAGTCTGCCTGTTCTGTTCCCCGCTCTGTCTCTGGTGAATCCTCTCACCCTTCCGCACCTCTGGCCTGTACCCCAGTTCTTGTATAAATAAATAAACCTTTAAAAAAAAATTAAAAAAAAAAGTTTAAAAAAAAAAACAAACCACAATAAGATACCAACTCACACCTGTGGAAATGGCCCATGTCAAAAAGACCAGAAACAATTTTTGGTGAGGATGCAGAGAACAAAAATCCTTACACTATTGGTGAGAATATAGACTGATCCAGCCTTGATGGAAAAAAGTATGGAGATTTCTCAAAATATTAAATGGATCTGCTCTAGAAATTCTATGCCTAGGTATCTCCCTGAAGAATGAAAAAATACTGATTCCAAGGGACATACACATTCTTGTGTTCACAGCATAACATAACAGCCGAGTTATGGAAATAAGTGTCTGAAGACAATGAGTGTAGTAGGAAGATGTGCTATATATACACAATGGACTACTACTGAGAAGGGGGTAGGGGTAAGCCAAATAAGCTAAAAGGGAAAAGACTATTACTGGATGGCTTCACCTTTATGTGGAACATAGAGAAATAAAACCAAGCCAATAACAAATCCTCAACATCTAACTAGTAGCAAGGCTACAAGAAGGGGAGACAAAGCGGGCAGGACCTGCGGCACAATGGACTGTGGTGGACTAGGGTGCCTTGGAGGAAGTGCGTGGTGTGGTAACATACAACTGAGGGGTATGATCCCTGGGTCTATAAACCATGTGCAATGTTGAAAAGCACTGATACCTCAACTGAAAAATAAGTTGATTGCTCTGGTAAGACTCAAAGATGTTACTACCCAAGAAATGTTGTCAAATTAGGAAAAGGTGAGACAATTACAAAAACCTTGAGGTTACAAAAACTTAGGGAAATTCAGCATTCAGACTGCATCAGAGTATAGATCTCACTCTACTTCATAGAGACCCAAACTAGAAATTACGAACAATGCTTCACAGGTATGGTTTACACAGAAAGACAACACAGAATTCTAATGAATGGATTCATTCTCAAAGAAAAACCTTAATTTTTTAAAAGGACAAATGACTGTACATTAATATATTTCTAGGTTGAAATATTTTAAGACATGCACAATGTTTTAACACCTTTTTGCAATTGACTACCCTCTGACTGTATCATATTCGAAGGCTTCTAATATTGAAACCACTGAACTCTAAAGTCTATTAAGCATCATTTTTCAGAACTAGGTTTGTTTAAAGAAAAATCAGGAGATCTCAGAGGTAAACACTAACACAAAAGTTTTATACTTACTGTCTGTGCCCTCATGGTAATGTTCAAATACTGGTAAAGTAACACCTGTTACACAGAGAAACATATACAGATTCATACACATGTCCTTAAGGTACTTGTTTCTTAGTCATTATTTCCTAGATTTCTTTTTCAGTAAATACTCAAAGGTGAAGAGACTGTCTAGCATTATAACTGATGAATAAATTTAGGAACTTGCTTTCAGTGTTGATTCCTATTCAAAAGTTATATCATCCTGAGTAATAAGGAAACTGGTTGTTAACAATACTTTTCTTTCATTCTTTAGTGAAGTATACTTAATATACAAAAATTGCACATATTTAACATATACATTTTGATGAGTTTAGATACGTGCATTATATATAGCATCACCACAATCAAGATAATAAACTACACCTGGCAAAAGATTTCTTGTACCTGCTTTCCTGTGTGTGTATGTGTTAAGAACTACCCCTTAATAACAAGATTTTTAAGTGCACAACAGTGGACTGTTAGCTATAGGCACAATATTGTACAGCAGATCTCTAGAACTCACTCATATTGTATTACTAACTTCATATGCACTGACCACCACATTTCCCTCCCCCCAGGACCTAGTGACCCAGCCCGCAAGTTACAAATTTTAACATGTAAAGCCAATCAATTTATTCTAAGTAGAAGAGACAAATTAGTACATTAAATTCTTGCTGTATAAACAGGTTAATTTAAAAACGTACTCTTTTCTGCCCCAAGTGTTCTAAAGGGTTTAAAGGTTACCTGCTACATTATCTTTCTTTGCTCGTATCTTCACCTGGGCTTTGTTTACATTTTGGATAACTGTGGTACTGCAGGAAAATAAAACACCTTATTTAGAGGAGATTTTGGAATGAGAAACCTACAGGGATCCTACTAGATAAGTTCAACAAGAGTAAGGTAACACAATCAAGTGTTTTAATGAATTATCTTTTCCCAGAAAAGGAGATGAATCACTGCTGCCTGAAGAGGGCCTCAGAGAGCAAAGAGTGAGCAACATGCAAAGCATTAGCCATGAGAACAAAGAATGATTTTTAAATACATGGACTGCCTGAATTTTCAGTCAGATATGGTATACGGATATTACTTTAGGGATTTTTGTTCTGTTAATATAATTTGGTGAAAAAAGTCCAAGTTTGCTGTCCAATTGTCTAAGTAATTGTTCAATTACTTGATAAAGCAGTAACAAAACATTATGCTTTATAAAGCATACATTGATGATGATGAAAAGTCCTAAATTTGTGCCTTGTATACAACCAATTCCATTCTCATAATTCTATTTTTTTTTTTAAGATTTATTTATTTATGCATACAAGAGCTGGAGTACAGGCCAGAGGCGAGGGGGCGGGGGGGTGAGAGGATTCACCAGAGACAGAGTGGGGAATAGAACAGGCAGATTGACCAAAATACACTGCTGAGGGGAGCAGCGGGCGAGACAGGAGAGGTCTGCTGCGCCATGTGGGTTGCTCCCTGGCCGGCCGGGGATCGAACTCATGCTACAGAGGCTATGGACAGCTTCATAGGTTGCATCTTAATGCCTTGCGCCACCAGGCGGCCCCCCATAATTCTATCTTAAGGAAATAATAGAAACAAAAATATATATCCATGAAGATGTTCAAGGCACCTTTTTCAGTATTCTAAAATCTGAAAATCAACCCAAAGACCTACCATTAGGACAAAAAGTTAATAAAGTATGGTGGTACATCTAGCCAAAGATTACGCAGCCATGTGAAATCAAGAAAAATGTTTATGATACCATGTTAAATCAAAGGGGACTATAAAATATCATGTATCCTGTGCCTGCAACTGTGTAGCAGATACATGTGATGGTAATAAGGACAGTAGTAGTCTTAGGTGATGGGGTTAAAAGTATTCTTCCTTATTATTACTACATCATTTGCCTTTAATGCTTATGTATTTTTAAATTAAAAATTGATTTAAAAGAAATTGTGAACATGAAAGCACTTTCTTTACTTTTTCAAAACCCCCATTTAGACTTCTTACCTAAAGTCCCCTGCTGTGAACTTGGCCTCAGCCAGTGAAAAAGCAGCTTCTCTCATCACTTCACCCATCAACATTTTAGTCTGGAAAATCATAAACCAACAGCAGATTCAATCAGGATTTTTACAAGGAAGAACCACAACATAATTATGTTCCTTTAATAACTATCAGTATTTTAAGTCAGGTGTGCATGTAAATAATTTTTTGATAATAATAAAACAAAATAAAAATTTCCAATTTTGCTTGAACAGTTTTGGTTATGATCACTAATAAAGGTCCAAAACTACTGAGTCTTATAGTTAAAACATTGGAGTAAACACAGTAAGAAATAGGAAAAATGAATCTTTACTGAAGAACTTGTCTTATTCCTGAGTGAGTTCATGCCAATTTGCTCAAATTAATGTCTTTAATTCACTGCAGTTCAGTCAAAATCCTAAAGCGTAGTGATTCGAAAATACATCAAAAATACTTAATGTTTGAAGCTATGCAATCTTTTTTTTTAAGAAAAACAGGGACAAGTATAGGGTAGGAATTATCTTACCAAATATTGAAAATGAAAATGTACAGCTTATAATAAGGAAATACATCTAGTATTGGAACAAATGAATCAATAAAGTGGATTAGGGAGTTCGGAAACAGCCTCAAGGTATATGGGAATTTAGTAGAGACCACGTACAAAATGACAAAGCTAAATCCCTACCCTTTTTACCATACCCCCTTACATCACATCAAAAGAAAAGATCAAGCAAAATAAAATTCATAAATATTAAAGATAGAGGGTCCTTTCTAGCTAAATAAAAATAACAAGAGAAAATATAGATTATTTTCCTAATTTTGTTAGCCCTTTCTAAAGAATTGTGTGTAACCCACAAGCTATGTAAAAGAAAAGACAAACAGATTTGACCAAACAAGAATTAAGATGTCATTCTTTTAAGTTAAAAGGTAAGCAAAAGACTTGGAGAAAATTATTTTTAGCATTTTATCCACCAACTAGAATATAGATATATAGAACTTCTAGAAAAAATAAGAGATATTCACCAAAAAGTCAAATTGCAAATAAACATAAAAATATTCTCAACTTCATAAATTATCTGAAGTAATACAAATTAAAATAAGAGTTCAGCTCAATAGATTAGTAACAAACAACAAAAAAAGATTAATATCCAGTTATGATTAATTTTTTAAATAGGTCCTCATCATTTGTTAGGAACACAAATTAATAAAACAAGTGAAGGGCAATTTGGCAGTTATCTAAAAATTAACCTAAAATTTTTTAGGTTATCTAGAAATTTAAATGAATATATCCTCAAAGTTCTAAGATCCTTTTCCAGAGAAATGCTAGCATCACACACATAAGGATTTAAAAGTTCTGACCCTCCCCAAAACAGTAAAACTAAATAGTCATCAATAGAAAAATGATTAAATGTCATTATCCAGGCAATAAAGTACCACACAGTTATTACAAAGAATGGGACCGCTCTGAATGTATTGAAAAAGAAAGATGCCTGTACTGCCACACGCGAGGGAAGGGGAGAAAGAGGCAGGAAATGCTACAGAATTTTACTTAAATACAAATGTACATACACATACATATACTACATATATACACACATACATATCTGGAAACATAAATATATCAATATATTGACATTTTAATATGTTAATATACATACAAGTTTCATATATTATGTACAAAATAACTATATTTGTTACTAAAAACATCTGCCTATTTAGTAAGCACATGATACTCTTAGTAAATGCTGCACAAAAGCAGTCCTTGGGTACTTTGGCAGGATGTATCCTCAGCCAAAAAGTAAAAATGAAGACTAAAAGGCTATAAACTGAAGTGTCAAGAACAAATCCTCTGAGAAATGAGAGGGTAACTGGAAGAAGGGAGTGCAAGCTATGGAAAAGAACTTTTGCTTTTTTTTTTTTTGAATATACTCCTGTAGTCTCCAATCATTTATCCAAAAAGCATTCAATTAAAAAAAACCATTATATGCCAGCAGTGTCCTGGGCATAGGAAATATAGTGCTAAGAAGGCAAAGTCCCAGCTCTCATGGTACTTACATTCTCTAGTAGGGAAATACAAACAAGTAAATATCATGCAGCGGTATGAGAATGATAAAGATGTGACAGAAATAAACATGGTGGTTACTTCAGGTAGCTGATCAGGGATGACCATGCTAAAGACACCAGAGGGCCAGAGGAGGCCAGTGTAAGTTGGTCTGAGGAAAGAGCATTTCAAGCAGAAGAAACAGCTAATTCCAAGGCCCTAGAGAAGATATTAGGAAGAAGGCTCCAAATGAGGTCAGAGAGGAAGGCAGGGGTCAGATCAGATCTACCAAGGCTTTAGGGCAGGGGAAGGAGTTGGGATTTTATTAAATGAACTATCTGAAACTCATTTCACTTACAATGGCACCTTTATCTTTGAAAAAAAATTAATTAAAATAATTCAAAGAAAAATTAAAATGTCACGGGTCATGATGGATTTTCCTTCGGTAATTCTAAAGTAAACACTGTTCTAAACCAAGTTCCTTTTACCTCTATTATCTTCTTTAGAATTTGTCGAAATCGAAGAGTTAAGGCATCAGATTTTTTCTTCAGGAGGTTTCGACCCGTCTGTGCTCCTTTTAATCTAGCCTTCATGATGGTCTGGGCCCTATATAAAGAAAAGGTGAAGATATTATTCTCATTACTTAAAGGAAATAAAAATACCTCTCTAAAGTGTTGAAATGATGTTTTATTCTTTGATGTAACAATAAAATATGTAACCTTTGTAGTTGACAGGTTGAATCGGTTTCTCAATACTACAGATTTCCAACCTCTGTGTTACGTAAGTGAAACATTTATTTATTTAAAACAATTCTTTAACCAATATCTGCAGTATTATTAAATCATAATAAAATTATCAGGAACCCTATTTTATGATGCCAGGATATCAAATACTTATTTGATTTGTAGGTTAAAACATTACCTGTGTCTTCAGTTTCTAAAAATAGAGATGCACTAAGAATTAAAAAAAAAAAAGCTGGGCCTCTCTGGGGGTTCAGTGCCATACCGTGAAGCTGTCTACAGCCTCTGCAGTGAGGGTTCGATCCCCGGCCGGCCAGGGAGAAACCCACAGGGCACAACAGACCTCTCCTGTCTCACCCGCTGCTCCCCTCAGCAGTGTATTTCGTCAGTCTGCCTGTTCTGTTCCCTGCTCTGTCTCTGGTGAGTCCTCTCACCCTCCCACACATCTGGCCTGTACCCCGGTTCTTGTATAAATTAATAAATTTAAAAAAAAAACATTTTGGAAAGTTGAAGCGTATCTTTTTTTTTTTAAGATTTATTTATTTATACCCTAATACCACTTATTTGCAAATAACTCTAGATAACAAATGAAATAAACATACTCCTGAGAAACAAGATACTGAAGTCGCCTCACCTCATTTCAATCTTTGTCAATCAGAAACCCAAATATCAAAGTCAAGAAAACAATAGCAGAAAATGATATTTCTGTTCTTGCTGCCATGTGCCAACTAAAATGTAATAATGGGGAAGGGGGGTGTGCAATACAATTCAACAATAGGTGGTACAACATAGATACTTAGTATTCTGTTCACAGGGGTGTAATTTCATGTGACTAGTGTTATAACCAACCACAAACAACACATATTAGTGTTCTTTTTGGCTAAATTCTTAAATTCTTAGATCCACTGAAATCTTTTACCATAAGGTTAAGGTTACTGAGACAATTTCATTGCTGGGACTTTAAATATTATCTTAAATGGAAAATGACGGTCAAAAGAATGAGACAACTCTCCCATAATCACATGAGTGAAGAGGCAGGCCAGGACCTGAGCAAGATTTCTGAATCCCGTGAGTTGTGCAAACCTGGGACCACTGAACTCCAACCACATGTCACACTGCCTCCCCTACAGATTATAACTGCATCAGGAGAAAAGAACTGTTCAAATCTTCTCTTTTTGGAAAAAAATTAGTGGCACTGACTGGCTTTATAGGGAAGCCGAACCAAGTGGAGCTGGTCCTGTTTCCAGCCTGAACAAGAGTCATCCACCACATGTGTACACTTAACACACTGTAATGCTGACAGTAACCATCAGAATTTGGACTCAATGTACTAGATAAAATTTCAGTCAAATCCTAGTACTGCAAATTCCAACAAGTTAGAGTAAAAAGGTATGAGTCAGTCGACAAAATTCAGTTTACCATGGTAATTTTAATGTCCTCCTAGGTACTGACATCTCTATGAAATTGACAAATGTCAACTCTTGTGACTGAACAATAGGGAGTGACTTGCCCAAGGGCTTACAGCCAGGAGGTAGTTGAAACTGGATCTGACTGACTTCTATTGATTCCAAGTCCTCCTCTTTTACTTCCACCCTAAACTTGCTCCCTCTGGTGCCTAAGTGGGTGAAATCCCATTTTCACAGATTAACACTGTAAGGCAGAATTGTCTGAAACGGAAGTTGCCAGTGTGTTTTCTTTAAAAACTTGTCATTTTACGAAATTCAGAGCTGTTCAGCCCTCCAAAGCTTTGATCTTCATCTAATAGGATGATGCCTTTGTTTCCAGCTGAATCAAAGACATCTGACTACATGACAAATGAGCAGCTTCTATTGCCTTGGGAAAAAATATTAGAGAAGCTGTTACTTCCTGCACCTGATTTTTCTCTTAATCAGCAAGCTGAGTGCTCTCAAAGGCAATTTCACCTTCACAAATCTATCCTTCTTATTTAAGTCCAAAAAAGTGTATTTTCACCTGTCTCAAAAAAAAAAAATTAACATTCTTACTATCAAGGATAAACACACAGCCAGACACTAGCAAATGTAAGTAATTGCCCTAACAAAGTAAGGACAGGGCCATCCAACAGGTGGTGGATAGAAAAATTAGTAAGTCATCAGGTGGTGGGTAGAAACAAAAAATTCTATTAGCCCTGTACTTTCTCAGGCAGGCATTTTAATGGGGCCTGGGATCATCTTAGAAACCCTAGCCTTACAGTGCTAGAAGTCATGCCAGAGTTTGGTGGTCCCTCGTTGCAAAGGTTTGCACAGAGTCCGTATCAGTAAGTGCAAGTTCTGCAGTTCTCATTCTGACTTAGCCATGATCCTTTATTTCCCAAGCATTGCCTTTCTCCTCAAATCACTCCCACCTCCATCCTAGTGATAACTATTAGAAAGTTTGAAGGAAGGTTAGGGGGAAAAAAAACAACAAAAACCTCCATTTCATTAACAGATGTAGCCACACAGGAGGAGGCAGAAATCTAGGTTTAGGATTAGATTATAATTCTCATATTCAGATTATCTAAGAAATGATCAAGATAAGGGGGGGGGGGGAACCAGAACAGTTCCAAAGAGAAAGCACAAGCAAAAGATCTCAATGTTACAGTGAAAAAATGGCTTTCTGGCCCTCACTGAAAAAAGAGGAAGAAGGAAGACAGAGCAAATAAAAACCACCTTTAATTTCCACAAGTGGTGAGGCACAGTTGAGAAAATTTCAGTTTTCTTTACAAACTAGCCACACACCTAGGGCACTATGCTACTTTCCCTGCCAAACAATTGAGGCTAAAAGAGAAAGGCACCCCACAACTAAGCAGATTCCAAGGCATGGGTCACTCAAGGAACATTCTTTGCAGACCTTTTATGAATTACTAATCAAGACACACATCCTGGAGAGAGCTCACAGTCCGGTGAGAAGGGTATGTAAACAAATACCCACTTTACAATTAACGGAGGTTGGACAAAATACAGTGGTGATAGAGCAAAGGGACTGCCTCATAAACTGGTATGTTTCCACCACAGGTGACATTTCATTGGATCTTGGGAAATGAATCAGGGGATCCTAGATCGAATCTAACAACCAAGCCAGGAAGATTCAATTCAATCCCCAATAGGGTTTATAGGTCTCTTCTCCCTCCTCTGAGCACTTCTCCTTTGTCCGTCTTCCCACTAAAACGTGAGTCCGATGAAGACAGGACTGGCGATCGTTCATACTTATATAAACCCAGTGTCAGGCCTACTTAAAGGCGTGTACAATGAATGGCTCGATTAAAAAGTCAGGGGACAAGCACAAAAGCCAGAAGGCCGAGAGCCTGTTCTTATGGACTCGGATCGCGCTGCTCCAAACTGGCTCACTCAGAGGAATGTGAGGGGCCGTCAAGGAGCCTTGCCTCGGACTCACCAAGAGGCTGGGGAGAGCTTAGGCTTGGCCCACGACAAATGGACTTAAACGCTGCGGGTCCAGGCTACGGGGGGCCGCAGCTCCAGGCAGGCGCTCCTGGACGAGTGTTGCGGGCACCATTCTTTTACTTACATTCGGGAGGGAAAGATCTCAATTCGGTCCTTGCCCGACATTCTGACAGCGGTGGTTCGGCTCGGGTTCCCCGCCCGGCAGTCGTGGCTGCTGCAAACCCCGGCACTCGATCGTCCCCCACCGGAGTCAGCTGGTCTGATCACTTGACCAGCCTCGCGTTGCTAAGCGGCAGCCGGCGTCAGCACTCTTTACTTCCGCTTCCTGTTGGCCAGAGGTGGGGGAGGGCCGGGGAGGAGAGGAGGCCGGCGATGCCCGGATGTGGAGGCGCGCGCACCACAGACCCGCCCCTCACTTCCGGTTCTCCCCCTAGCCCCGCCCCCTCCAGTTCCCAAGCGGCTGCGCCAAGTGCTGCGCGCGCAGAGCGAAAGAACAGACGAGTACGCGCCTTCTCTTCCTCTACTTGTCACCTTTGGTCACAGCGCCACCTCATGGTCGGCTGAAGCTTTGAGAGAAGATTCATGCCTCAGGGACGAGGAATCAGACTCTTACCCCTTCCTCGTGCTTTGAGGTTACTTAGCAAGAAATAAAGCCAGGGAGGAAACGTACTTTTCGGATTCTCCTATGATCCACGTTCTTCCTGTTCTCGGAGGACCTAGACTCTATGGTCAGTGGCGAAGAGGGGCCCTTACTCTATCGGCGCTTGCGTGAGGCGAGGTGGTTCCGCATGCGCCGTGGGGTCTAGCGAAGCGCACGCTGGAGAGGCTCGGCGGCTGCTGCGGGCGGATCAGGTCTGATCTCTCCGATTAAAGCGAGCGGCGGGGGACCCTGTTGCGGGAGTCACACACATACCTCAGGTGACGAGTCCCCTGCCTCGGTGTCTCCCTGCGCTCACCGTGCTGGTGTCCAGTGACGAGGGTGGGCGAGGGCGGGTAGGCCCCGGGCGGACACCCCTCCCTTTCCCGTCTCTGCGCGGGAAGAGTCTGGGCACGGCCCCGCCGTCTGCGCGGTGGGCCCTCTCGCCGGCCCCGCGGCGGCCTTCCGGGGCTGCGGGGGTGCCGTTCCACGAGCTGAGGAATCTCGGGGCGGAAAGGGGATCGAGTGACTGTCCCGCCGCTTCAGTATGCGTGGAGTCAGGGTGCCTTGGGGTGGGGCGACCTCGGGAGAACAGCCTGACACCCCCGCCCCAGGACGCTGAGCTCTGGCTCTTTCCAGGCCTGAGAATCCCGGCCTTTCCTCCCGGCCCGGCCCGTGCTGCCTCGCAGGGGAAAGCAGACAGAACACTTCGAGGAACTGTGGGATGGGCCACAGGGTTGAAAAGAGCTGGGTTGAAAAGGGTCCAAGAATCCTTTACTCATCTGATCATTGAAGTTGCACAACTGAAGCTCGTTTTAACTTATCGTTCGAGTTGTGCAGTTCTGCAGAATGTCAGTCACGCTGAATGAAACCCACACTTAGTGCTGACGAGTTGATGGAGCTTGGTATCGGTCTGCTGTATTTCAGCACCAGTGAGCATGGAACTGTGAATTTGCACGCTGTGGTGTTACAGTGAAGCGTGGCAAAAAGCATGAGGAAACTCTAGGGTTAAGTACGTGTTCAGCCTGATGTCCCTTTTATTATCACCCAAACTGAGGCCACTTACTTTATACAGGAAACATTGTATCTCAGCGACGTCTTATTTTTTTTCCCTCCCAATTGAAGTTGTCTTTCCAGGAGAAAAACTTGTAACTCTGTGTCTGTCAACTGTTTGGGAATTACAAAAATAGAATTTAACCGCATATTTTCAGTTCCTCTGATGCCAAATGATAATGAGTCTCAAAAGTTCTTTAGAAAGACCATAATATTTGTAGAGCTTTGTGCTTCTTGTTTCAACTACAGTGAAGAAGTATTAAAGCTTTGTTTGTGTGCACTTCTGTTCTAAACACGCATTCTTAGAGCATGCCCAATAAGTGTTGGAGCTGAGTTGGAATTAGTACCAAAGTTGTCTCTAACACAGAATACACTTTACTTTGGAAGAAATGTGGATTTCCTATGTACGTAGTTGACTTGACCATATGCTTGATTTAGTAGGAATCTCTGCCAACCAGTTAACCAGGCAAAACTAGTCACGGTACAGGGTGTTTGAAATTACCTTGGCGTTCAGGTAATATATTTTGAAAGATGGATATTCTTTACCAAAGAATACATGCTGTGTTGTAGTGCTCTGACTACTCAGGCTCTGTCAACTAATGGCACTGGGTTTAATGTCAGAGGACTTGGTTTTAGCTCCAGTTCTAGAATTTGTGAAGCGTTTGTCCTTGAGAAAATCATTTAATATTTCTGTTCCTTGGTTTCCCCTTAGTTGATTGCTTCACTGTACCACTTTCATAGTACCTCATATTGCAATTATTGTTTACTGGTATGTTTCCCATTCTGAAATTTGTTAGGTTAAATTCTTATTTATCAGTAGTGCTTAGAACATAGAAGATATTGCAATGATAATATTTTAATGAATTATGTTACAGATTGGAAATACTACCACCTTAACCTTTTAATCGTATATTTGTATAGCACACTACACTTTTCAAAATATTTTCGCATATATTTTACCTCATACTTCACAAGGCTGTCATTTAGGTGGCCCAGACTAGAAATTACAGTTCCATGGGAATACCTTTCCTGAGCAACAACAACTAATTGAGTAGGAGAACAGGGACTGGAGCCCACCTTTTGAGCTATTCCCAAAGTTGTGCTACTTGCCTAATTGGAACACAAATTTTTTCATAGGTCATTAGGTCCTTTTACTGCCTGCCAAATAAAATAACTTTTTTAGCACTCAAGTTTAATACTTTACATGTAGATATCTTACAACAGTTGTCTTAAAAGGGAAAAAAAAAAAGCCCTGTTTAAAAATGAAACACCCAACTCCGCTGTTTCTTGGTGGGTAATTCTGGCATTGGCTGTCTGCGTCCCTTTATTTGCTTAATCCCTGTTTTGTCAAACTACAAAAGAAATGTCACTATACATAATGTAGTGAAAGTTTGCACTAATCTGTTACACTACAATAATTTGCAGTGCACTAATTTGTTCTAGCATGGAAAATATATGTCTTTTAAGATGTTTCTAATTGCAATATATTTATCAACAATATTAGAGGAAATGAAACTGGATGGACTAAAATACAGACTTTTTGGATCCAAACGCCATAGGTTCAGATTGTTACTGTTACCTGTAATAGCAGTATATGACAGAACATTAGTTTCTTCGAGGACTGGGGGAAAGGCAGTGGCCAGATCATATCAGACCCTATAGATGTATATTCCCGGTGGGAATACCACTGGGAAGATATGTATGTGTGGGTGCAGTTAGCAGTTCTCAGACAATCTGCAGCAGAACTGTGTTGTTCTGAGTGGGATATGGATGTTTTCTCTCTAAAATCAAATAATGTGAGCTTTACTTCCAGTTAATAAGGAAAAGATAAGCCATTTAATGTTTTACCACAAATTTTTTCATAGGTCTTTAGGTCCTTTTACTGCCTGTCTGAGATTTGACATTAGTAAATTGGTTAAGGTTATGAAAATCATCAACTATGATTTAGTTTGAAAGCTTCTTTTTAAAAACATACTTCTTATGGTCTGATTTGAGGCTTGTGGATCATAAAAGGAGTGGTGTTGCAAGTAGATTGGGTGGATCAAAGGGAATAGGTTTAAATGTAAAGCTTGGAGGTTAGAAGAGACAAACTATAAAGCATTTGGAGATCTCTAAGGCTATTCTGGATTGGGCCTACCTAGTCAACAAAAAAGAAGACTATTTAGGAGTAACGAATAAAACTAGGAATTGTAGTAAATATGAATTAATTTTTAAGAGTGAAAAAGTGGAGAGAGTCCATTTTAGTTTTAGTAATTAATAGAGTTGTGTCCTGTTATGTGATACTGTAATTTTGATTGTAACATGATGGAAGGTATGTTCTTTGATATATTGATTACAGTTTAAGTAGTCAGATTCTTCCCTGTATAGAATGGGTGATGGCATATACAACCTTAGCTGACTTGGAAAAAGAGTAACTTTAGTTTTGCTGATAGGTTTGTAATAGTAGTGATGCTTCCCATCATTTGTTATTTCTTAAAGTGGTGGTTTTAAAATAGTAGTTTACTCTTGATGTGTACCTTTAATCTTTATGTCTCAGAGTACTTTATAGATGGTGATTATTTTTTATGACTCCTCTGAAACTAATGTCAGAATCACACAAGCCTTACTGAACTGTAGAGCAAAATAAAAATTAAAGTTTGGTTTCTGAACATCTATTTGTTTTCTGGTGCCATTTAAGAAATTTTAAGGGGCGAGAAGACTAATAACTTCTCTCAGTGGCATGGTATGGAAAGTTGACAGTTCTTTATTTTGACCATAACTGAACACTTGGTTCTTTTCTTTAAATTGCAGAATGCCGGGTCTAAGTTGTAGATTTTATCAACACAAGTTTCCGGAGGTGGAAGATGTAGTGATGGTGAATGTCAGGTCCATTGCTGAAATGGGGGCTTATGTTAGCTTGTTGGAATACAACAATATCGAAGGCATGATTCTTCTTAGTGAGTTATCCAGAAGGCGAATCCGTTCTATAAACAAGCTCATCCGAATTGGCAGGAATGAATGTGTGGTTGTCATTAGAGTGGACAAAGAAAAAGGTAAGTGAGAAAGATACCTAAAATATAAATTTTAGATTTAAAATGGTTTATTTTAAAATATGTATTTTGTAAATGTCCAGTGCAGTAAAAAGGAAAAAAAAAAATCACCTCCTGTTGTACTTAAATTTTTTTTCCATACAAGGTTGTCTGGAAAGGATTCCAGTTCACTATCTAAGCAAGATCTTATGTTAGTAGAGATTTAATTAGTGCAAGCACGCCTTGGAGATTTTGCAGATAATGAAGTGAAGCAGGTCACATGAATTTATTTCCCAGGACATAAAAAAGTTACATTTACACTATACTGTATTCTCTTACGTTTATGATAGCTTTATATCTAAAAAAGAGAATATGAGTAGCTTAATTAAACATGACAGAAACAAAGTGAGCATATACTGTTGGAAAAATGGCACTAGTACACTTCCTAATCACAGAGTTGCCACAAACCTTCAATTTGTTTTAAAAACAGAGCTAGTTTTTTTGAAGCTTAGTAAAAACAAGGAATGCCTGTTCATCCCAGGACTAGTTTTTGTTGGTCAGATAACTTGAATTTTATCCTCAGAGGTTATTAACATCTTGATAATGGACTTCTAGTTGCCCAAGTTAGGACAGGTAAACCATAGTACTGGTACTTTTATATTTGTTGGGTGCTTTTTTCTTGATTTAAAGCTAAAAATAATCAGCTTATTGGACAAGCATGGAAATGAGCCAAAGATAAGTGGATTTTGGAACTATTTTATATTAAGCTTTGAAAAAGCAATATAGTATAAACACCCAAAGTCCAGTATTAAATGTCTCTTTGGTAAGCAGAATGCTTATGACTCCCTGTTCCTATGGGATCTTTCAGACAGTGCTAAGTGAATATTCGTTTTTAAATCATTAGATGCCTTTTTTTCTGGACACCATGTAAATCTTTACCTTTGTGAACACATTGTTTTCTAAATACAGTGTGCAGTAATACATTAAGTAGGTTTGAGTTTCAACAGACATATTTGTTTCAGTCATTTCACTATAGTTTTTTAGATGTTAGTTTCATATAGTTACCTTGTTACTTGAAAACCAGGCACATCAGTTAAATTTATCTTTTTGAATTGCCTCACCCAACCTAATTGATATTTCTGTGACTAACCTTATTCACTGCCCTACCTTGTATTTCTTTTTCTGTTATATAAAATATATATGTAAGAAGGAATCATATACATTTCCAACTGTAATTATACTTACATAAGTATAATAGATACATGCAAAAATATTTTCATGGCATTGTTTATAAGTGTTAATTAAAAACAGACAGCAGGGCCTCCCCTGGTGGCGCAGCAGTTGAGCACTGGGCTGCAAAGCTGCCTGCAGCCTCTGCAGCGCCAGTTCGATCCCCGGCTGCCAGCGAGGGTCCCACATGGCGCGCGCAGACCTCTCCTGCCGCGCCCGCTGCTCCCCTCAGCAGTGTATTTCATCACTCTGCCTGTTCTGCTCCCCACTCTGGCTCTGGTGAATTCTCTCACCCTCCCGTGCTTCCGACTGTACCCCAGTGCTTGTATAAATAAATAAACAGATAAATAAATAAATAATAAATCTTTTTAAAAAAAATAATAAAAACAGACAGCAATCAAAACTATGGTTAAATAAATCATGACTCATCCATGCAATGCAGTTTTATACAGAATAAGGTAAATATTTTGATATGGAAAGATCTCATTGATAAGGGGGGAAATAAAGCAAAGTGCAGAAAAGCCTATAAAGGAGATCCATTTCTGATAGTAGAAGGTAGGTCCTACTAGACCTTTCATCATAACTGCTCTAAATTCTGGCTTTGGCCAACCAAAAGCAGGCCAAAACTGAAGGCAAATTGATAGTTAGAAAAAAAGGAATTTCCCTGATAAGTTTTACACCTTTTTTGTCTGAATACAGACAGTCAAGTAGGGAAGCTAACATTTTAGAGTTGAATAAATAATTAACCTACTAAATTAAATAGTGTGAGAACCAGAGATGAGAGTTCTGGACAACCATAGCCTATAGAAAGTAGTTACAGGGATTGGAGAAAGAATAGCCCCAAATTTTACATATAAATTCCACTCAAGTCTGGTTGATCCTTGAACTACAAATCACTGGGTAGATTGTAAACAGCCAACAGGGTAAAATATCTAAACAAATTTCAGTTGCTTTCCACCTGGGAAAACAGAACCTATAGTTATAAACCCAAACAAGTTAACTGCCTGCTGTGCCAAAAGTCAGTATCCTTAAGAGGAACTTAAAGGGGGCCTCCCTGGTGGCACAGCGGTTGAGTGCTGGGTTGCGAAGCTGCCTGCAGCCTCTGCAGCGCTGGTTCGATCCCCGGCTGCTCCCCGGCCACTGGAGGAGGGTCCCGCATGGCGCGCAGACCTCTCCTGCTGCTCCCCTCAGCAGTGTACTTGTGAATTCTCTCACTCTCCCGCGCTTCTGACTGTACCCAGTGCTTGTATAAATAAATAAATTAATTTTTTTTAAAAAAAGAGGAACTTAAAGGAACTCAGTCTGTCACATCATCATTAACATACAATCCAAAATTGGTAACATTTGAAAAAAACAGGAAAGTATGACCCATACAGAAGAGGAAAGACAATCTGTTGAGACTTATTTATTTATTTATACAAGCACTGGTTACAGTCAGAAGCGCGGGAGGGTGAGAGAATGCACCAGAGCCAGAGCGGGGAGCAGAACAGGCAGACTGACGAAGCACACTGCTGAGGGGAGCAGCGGGCGCTACAGGAAAGGTCTGCGCACCCTGTGGGACCCTCACTGGGGGCCAGGGATCAAACCAGCGCTGCAGAGGCTGTGGGCAGCTTCGCAGCCCAGCGCTCATTCCTGCGCCACCAAGGGGAGGTCCACAGATAAGGGTTTTAAAACAGATGTTATAACTGTCTAAGTATCTTAGGAGCATGTGCTTGCAATGAATGAACAAAGTGAAATCTTAGTAGGGAAATTAGAAATTCTCACAAAGAACTAAATATAAATTCTAGAACTAAAAAGTATAATGTCTAAAAATTTCACTGCATGGACTAATAGCAGTTTGAGGATCACAGAAGATTCACTAAAACTTGGATTATAGTTCACTGGAAATGAGCCATTCTGAATAATAGGAGGAAAATGACCTATCAAATATGAAAAGCTCTGTTCAAAAGAAGAGAAGAAATTGTGGCCAAAAGTTTCCTGTATTTGCTGGAAAAATACACAAATTGGAGAAATTTGGCAAACCTCAAGCAGGATAAATACTACTAAGATTACATCTAAGCACATCAAACAAAAGACAGAGATAATGAGAAAATCTTGAAAGTAGCCAGAGGAAATGACAGATTAATTAAAGAGGAAGAGTCGTACAAATTACTGTGGCATTCTTAATGGAATAGTAGAGATCAGAGCATTGAATGACATCTTTAAAGCACTGAAAGAAAAGAACTGTCAAGCTAAATTCTATGCCTAAAGAAAATATTCAGTGAATGTAAAAATGAAAGTATTTCCAAGTAAAGAGAACCTAAGTCTTTATTACCAAATAGACCTACATTATAATAAATAGTAAGATGAATTTTTAAGGCCTGAAATGAAAAATATGTGGATAAATGTAAAAACCCGTTTTTCTCCCTTAAATTCTTTAAAATTCAAATAACTCCTTGTCTCAATATCTACCTTGGGGGTATTACTATATGGAGTTGGCTGAGTAATGACATGGATAGCCCAATGTCAGTGAAATAAAATTTTTACTAAGTTTCCCAAGAGATGGGGACATACTGTGTCACTCAGAGCCCCTAGAAATAACAATTTTGGTCAAGAGGCAGAAAGATCAAGGAGAAATCCTAAGCCAGAGCCTTAATTGAGGTTTCCACAAGAAACACAAGGCCCTCTCCTGACTCGCCCACTGCTCCCCTCAGCAGTGTACTTCCATAATCTGCCTGTTCTGTTCCCCACTCTGTCTCTGGTGAATCCTCTCTCCAGGCCTCTGGCCTATTCCCCAGCTCTTGTATGCATAAATAAGAAAAAAAACCTTTAAAAAAAAGAAAGAAAGAAACACAGGGCAGATTGGAGTAAGCAATGTAGGGTTGTTTTGGTTGAATAGTTTTGATAGGCCCGAGGCATCGAGCCTATCTGGTCTGGCTCTGGGTTGATTTTGGACAAAGGCAGTATTGGCTTGTTGTGAAAGTTTAATGAGATGGTTGGAGTTGTGGGCTCTTGATTGGTTAGTTAGTATATGAAATGCTGCTCCAGGTAAGCCCTTAGCTGTCTATGAAAAGACTGGTCTGGGAAGGGAGAGAGTATGGAGGGAATAGTCACCAATGATCCAGGACACAAATATCAGAGAATACAATTGCATTAATAAAATGCAGTTGACCCTTTGATGAATAGATGCCAAATAAACAAATACAGAATGTTTTGGCTAACATTCATTTGGATAATTAAAAATTACTAATTCCTGCAAGGAGGTCATAGAGAATACACAGTTACGTGATAATAAAGATGCATTTCTGAAAACCAAAACCTCATCTTGTACTTTCTCTGTGATACTATTTTTATGGGATTTTAATGGGGAATAAGTGTAAGTATCCCAACCAAATTTGTTACAGTTGTTTGCTGGCACCTGGACAGTTCATTTTTATGAAAATTTTCTTACACAGGCTATATTGATTTGTCAAAAAGAAGAGTTTCTCCAGAGGAAGCAATCAAGTGTGAAGATAAATTCACCAAGTCCAAAACTGTAAGTAGATTTTTGAGTCATATTAGTCCACTGTTGGGTGGATGTGTTTAATAATAATTAGTATGTTATATTCCTGACAGAAAAATAAAAAACAAAACTTACGTTTTTTGTAATTCTTTATTCCTGTTTCCAATTTTGTGTCATATAATTTGAAGACTTAATTTCGACTTAATTACAGTGTTTTTAATCTCATGTTGTTAGTTCCTTCAAGCACTGCTTATTTAATGTTCACAAATCAATGCAGGATGTTAGTGTTTAAGCTGTTTTTGATTAAATTAACAATGGCTAACATCAGCTGATTTGACAATATATTGTTCTTGACTTTCATCTCTGATATGGAATAAGTATCACAGGAAAAAACCAGCAGGTATATGTTAAGAATGAGAAAGATTATATAAAAAATGTGTGAATCCAGGAAGGTAAGTCAAGTCCTATTATTAGATCCCTCCCCCTCATATCCTTCCCCACCACCCGTACCCCCAGTTTGTTAGTTATTTGTATTACTATTTTTTGCTAAAATTTCCTGCTCACTTATCCAGAGTAAGCACTAACGAAGCAAGAACCACCGTTTCTTCATTCTTCATGTTCTTTTTCTGTTCTCTTGCCCTTTTTAAATTATCCTTTATTCCCTAGATCCTTGATTCTTAATGGCACTATTTCCATTGTTTCTGTTCTTTGCTCTTTTGTGTCCTTTGCTCTCTTCTGCCATGTATATTATATTCATTCCTGTCCTCAACACAAAATGCCAAGAAAACTGTTCAAATAAAGAAAAGATTTTTAAAATCTTGCTTATTAACCATAGTAAAAAAGAATAAAAATCTTTTTTAAAACTATCAGACCATTTACCCGAGCCTTTCCCTTCATTTTAATAATGTGCTTACTCGTTTGGTGGTTTGTTTTTTTGTTTTGTTTTGTTTTGTTTTGTTTTTTTGTTTTTAAGCAAACATGCTGGTTCTCTGTTTTATTTTTATTTTTCTTATTATTTTTTAAAAGCTTTATTTTTATACAAGAACTGGGGTACAGGCCAGAGGCATCAGCAAGATCCCTTTTTAGTAAATTCTTAGGACCTTACCACTCAGAACGTAGTCTCTGAACCAAGTTTTAGCATCACCACACAGCTGACTAGAATGCAGGATCTCAAGTCACACCAAGTTTGAGGATCCAAATTTGAGAACCACTGCTCTTGTTTCTTTCCCCTATCATATTGTCAAAATAAGATGGCAGAATGAAATACCGAATTTAGTACCTTTCCTCAGATTTCATGTGTAATTAGCACAAGAACCTCCTTCCTTACACTCTTTCTCTTTCTAAGCCCTTTGGTTTTAGGAGAGTAGAAAAATTGCTTGGCAGCCATGGTTAGACTGGATAGGATTCAATGATAACCGATCAGAAAGATTACTAAAATCTCAGTCTTGGGTGCATGCTCTCATATGAAAGGTAGTAGTCAGAGCTTACATTTGTATAAGGGGATTTGTATGATGTTTTCCATTTATCGAATATGCTCTTTATATATATTTAAGGTTTCTGAAGTAAGGAGAGATACTAGTATCTCTCTTTTCCAGGTAAGGAAACATTCAGATAGGTTAATTATCCCAGAGGCAAGACTTGATCTGGTTTAGACTAGATTAGATTTATACTATTTTCTATAACTTTTGTTGTGTCCATGAAATAAGATACTTCTCTTTGGAGAAAGAGTATGTGGTATGGCAGTCTTTTGTTGTTAAGTAATTATTGCAGTTAAACTAACCAGCAGTTTGCTTTTTATATACTATCTATTGAAATGTAAAACACCTAGTTTTTTATAGATCTCTTACCTTTGAATTGTTCACCTCTGGATTTTGTTTGTAGGTTTATAGTATTCTTCGTCATGTTGCTGAGGTGTTAGAGTACACCAAGGATGAGCAGCTGGAAAGCCTGTTCCAGAGGACTGCCTGGGTCTTTGATGACAAGTACAAAACCTGGATACGGTGCCTATGATGCGTTTAAGCATGCTGTCTCGTAAGAACACCTTCTTGGCTCTGCTTCTACCTTGATATCACAACTGCTGGGTCTAGCACATGGGCTGAGAGCCTGACAATTAATCACACAATATCCATGTGTTATAAGTGCTTGCCAAATTTAGATTAGAATATTTCACTATAAAAGGCCAATCCTATATACCCAAGCCTATAGAATTTTGTGTAACATAGTTATATGCCTTCATAAACCAAATGGTCTCACCTCACACTGCTCCCTTACACATTTTTCTTTCCTATTTTGTTATTATCCTAGGTGTCTTCAGGCCAATGTAGATATCTCATCTAAAATTAACTTCTCATCTACCTCAGTTCCTTAGAATTCAGTCTATGCCCCTTTAGCCAGTTTTCCATGTTGGCTTGCTCTGGTCTTATTATTATCAGAATTTGCCCTGCGAGCTGTGTATCATAACCTTTACTTCAGCATTCTGTTCTTTTAACACAGCCTCCTGTTAATCCAGCTCCCACAGTTAGTTCTGTGCCATCTTAATTACTGTCAGGCTCTGATTCCAAACCTTTACTTTCTTCCTGTCTCTTCATTTTTTCCTGCCTTTTCTTGTTTAAGCATATATATACCATGATCTATCTTTTGAACAACTTTCTTGCCAATATCATGAGCTCTTTGCCCTGTTTTTCCTTCTGTTACATCCAGCCCTTGATCCATGTTCCTGCCTTCTCTGTACTCAGAGTCTTCTGGGTGCTGCTAGGAAAAAACAGAATCTTGCAGGTTGGTGCCACTGTATATTCATGGTCCCCAGCCTCAGCTGGACCTTCTCTGCTCCTGGTCAGCTCAGCTCTTTGGGGACTAGCTCTTTTGGAGTTTCTCTCTTTCTCGGATACTCCTTTCATTTAGGTGGTGTGCTCGCTTCCTAGTTTATAAAGAAAATAGAAGCCATTGCTTCTTTCTTCCTCTATCGCAGCAAACTTATCTCCCTCTCATTTGTCATTACCTCTTATCACACTGGGGTTCATATCTTTCTTTCTGTTAAATTAAGCCAACCTCCTTTGCCCAGGTACTGCTCAGGGATTGCTTGCTATCATTTTTTCCCTCTCTCGAGTCTTCAGCCTTTCCCTTTGTTGGTTTTGCACCATCAGCATAAATATATACTCTGATTTCTCTCACTTATACTAAAAAAAAGTCTTCTCAACTTTCCCTCTACTGTGTAGCAAACATGGCATAGTCTTCTTTTAACAGCCAGACTCCTTCAGTTCTCTGTACTAAGAGTCTCTTTTTTAATAAACTCTTAACCTCCTATTCCTGTCTAAATGTTAGTGTTCTTCAAGCATTCTCACTAGTCACTGAGGTTACTTTCTCAACCTTTGTGCTTCCAAAGGATATTGGTCCCCTGAACCCTCAGAATGGCCGGATGCCACGTGCTTCTTTTAGATCCTACAACAAGCCAACTCCAAATCCCTTCCAATTCACCTATCCCTGCCTCCCTCACTCCTGCCCCAGGCCCCCCCCCATGTGACTTTCTTTTAATATCACATGGGAAAGGTGAAAATAATTGCTAACCTTTATTTAATTCTCACAGCAATTTGTGGTATAAGTGCTATTATTATGCTTATCTTATGGGTGAGAAAATTGAGACAAAGATAAAATAATTTTTCCAATTTTACACAGCTAGCAGATGGTAGAGCCAAGACTCAAACCCAGGCATTTTGGCTCCACCCAGATTTTTGTACAACTAATCGTTAAGCTCTGCTTTGTATTTCTGTTCTCTCTGACTTCAGTCCTGCACTCCTCCATCAGTATACCTTTTAACGTGGCTTGCTGTCATCATCTGGCCCTAGTTACCTCTAGCATCCCTCTCCAGTTAACTTTCACATGCATTATTCCCTTTTCTTTGGACATTCTTCTTTTGCTTCATCAATCATGTAGTGGCCATCCAGGTTTAACTAATGATATATATATATATATATATATATACTCAATCATGTAGTGGCCATCCAGGTTTAACTAATGATATATATATATATATATATATATATATATATATAATATATATTTATATGGGTACAGTCAGATGAGAGAATGCTACACTGCTGCTTCTGCGCACCATGATTTTTTCGCAACCCAGCGCTTTTTTTTAATTAAGAAATAAAATTTCTGAGGTAGCTGTAAGCAGTATTTTAACCTTCCCAATCCATTTTTCCCTACAAACATCAGTGGTAACCACTATTCTGAAATTAGTATGAATCATTATTTTGTTTCATGGTTGTAATACAGTGTAAAGTACCTATATAATGGTTTTTGTGTCTAAAATTAATTGTCGTATCTTTCTATACCTCGCTTTTTCGTAAGGCTGTAATTAAGCAGGACTTCCCCAAAGGGATAAATTATACCACTCTTTATTTTCTATGTAGTATATCATTGTAAGAATATACTTTCTCTGTTCCCCTATTAAGAGATATTTAGGAAATCTCCCCTATCCCTTCCCCCTGTTTTTGAAACAATTCTATAATGAAAATCCACATACATGTCTTCATAAATTTTCACGTTTCTAAGGTATATACCTAGGAATAGAATTGTTGGGTCATAGCATTGATATATACACCTTTAGATTTACCCAGTTTTGCTAAAGTACTCTCCAAATTGGTTCTACAATTTCTATTCCCTCTAGCAGTTGTATGAGTGAGTGTTTGTCCTTTCATTCTCACCAACATTTGGTATACATCATCTTTTTTTTTCCTTAAGCCAAACTGGTGGATGTACAATTGTGTCTTATTTTAGCTTGCATTCTACTGGTTGTTGGTAAAATTAGCAGCTTTTCATAAGTTTATTGATCCCTCGTATTCTATGAAGCCTTTCTTCATTGCATTTGCCCATTTCCTGTTGGTTTCTCTTCTCGCCGTTTTGTAGGCAGCATTAGCTGAATGAAAATTCCCTCCCTCCATCCACATTCTTTTGCCTTGTACTTCTTAATCTATCCTTTTTAAGCCTGATGCTTGCTTGTGCCATTCCTTTTTTGATACATCATCGCTGCCTTTCTTCCAATAATTCTTCTTTTGCTTGTTAAAGTCCTACCATTCTTTTAGTGAATTTTTTCTTTTTTTTTTTTCATTTGTTCAGTAGACCCTGGTCCCTGTGTTGTGGGACTTAGGAGAGTTAGATGAAATACCACTTTATCCATGAAGTCCTTCCTGGCCCTACTAATTGGAACTAGTACTTTACTTGCCTGAAGTGCAGGGATGCACTCTTCTCTTTGAAATTTTTCTCCCATGTTGTTCTTTTTCCAGGATGAATCATAAGCCTTGAAGCAGGGACTGCTGGTTACATTGGTTACATGGTGTCAAATATATTAGGAGACATTTTAAATTGCTTGCTTTAGACAGATTGCTAATTGGATGTTTCCTATTTGTTATATACTGCTAAGTTTTTCACTTTTCCTGTCTCATTTAATTCCATAATCCTGTGATATTTCACAGGATTCATTTCTCTTTCATTTTACAAATTTGGAAACAGATCTAGAAAGACCCAACAAAACATCGTTATTAAAGTGCAGAGCTAAGATTTGAACTCTAATTCTGATACTAAAGCCTTACTCTTAAATATTCTCTGCAGTATTATATTTAATAATTGCAATTTATCAATAAAGTAACCTTGACCTTTTTTGCTGTTTTTTGATTTGGGGATTTGTTTGTTTTTTATCAGAGATCCATCTATTTTGGATAGTTTAGATTTGAATGAAGATGAACGGGAAGTACTCATTAACAATATTAATAGGCGTTTGACCCCACAAGCTGTCAAAATTCGAGCAGGTAAAGGATTTTTTTAATGATGTGTAAAATATTTTGCATGTATCAAAAAAGTTGTTAATAAGCCTTACCAAAGAATATGTTCCTACATCAACATCTGTACATTTTTCTAAAAGCTTATTTTTTATAACAGAAAAACATTATTTCTACTTCTGCTGAATTGTGTATTTAAATCAACTCAAATGAAAACTGATTTGAGTTCAGCTAACCTTAAGTTAGCCCTTTTTTAAAAAAACAAAGGGGAGTTTATTTTGGTTTAGTGTATACTTTAAAGTATTCTTAGCCTGTTTATTGTTTGTATTTTTTTTTTTTTTTAAGATTTATTTATGTATGCTTACAAGAACAGGGTACAGGCCAGAGGTGCAGGGGGTGAGAGGATTCACCAGAGACAGAGCTGGGAACAGAACAGGCAGATTGACTGAAGTACACTGCTGAGGGGAGCAGCGGACAAGACAGGAGAGGTCTGCTGTGCCATGTGGGTGGCTCCCTGGCTGGCCAGGTATCAAACTCTTGCTGCAGAGGCTGTGGATAGCTTCATAGTGCTTGCGCCACCAGGGAGGCCCTCATTGTTTGTAATGTATTCTTTTAAGACATTTTTCCTATACACATATGCTATTGAGGAATTATGTGGTGTATATTTGGATTTAATTTTTTATTTTTACAATAATGGAATCATACTATGTAAGTTTTTTCTGACTATTGTTTTCTACTTGGTGTATCATAGCTGCCCTTTCATGCAGAGCACAGGAACCTTCTCATTCTTTTTAATGGCTAGGTAGTACTACATACACTGATAAATCTTAACAGTAACCACTGCCCTCTTAAAAGAACATTTAGGTTGAGCCAGTTTTTAATATTAAAAAAAAACTACAAATTAACACCCTTATACATGTGCACTTATTTATATGTAAGTGTTCTGTGAAGGTTCTGTAAAGCAAACTTTTTTTGAGAAATTTTTGGTGTAAAATTTTGAATTTTTATAATTTCAGATATTGAAGTGGCTTGTTATGGTTATGAAGGCATTGATGCTGTGAAAGAAGCCCTGAGAGCAGGTTTGAATTGTTCTACAGAAACTATGCCCATCAAAGTGAGTCATCGGTTTTCTCCCTTGCTGCTGCACAGCCCTCTAAGCCAAGTCAGATGTTTTTTATGATTTTATTTCTTAGCAAATGTTATGAAAAGTTGTAATATTTCTAGGGTATATTTACAACTTATGCCTAGACTTTTTGTTGTAGCTACTGCTGCTGTCATGGGGTGGGGTGGGGTGGGGTGGCTGTTGGTATTTAGAAGACTCCTTTACAGTAAAAAGGATTATGTGTGCCCATAATGCTCATAGTATTCTCTCATATTCACACAACTTTTAGGTGGTTTGGTCTGAATTATTTGTTAGTAAAATTAACTGGGTGATGGTTGTTCAGAATCTCTTAGAAGAATTTCTTTTATCAGTTTAGGACCAAATAGGAATTTTTGTTTGTTTAGTGACAGGTTATCTGTTATGCTGATGATGTCTAGGATTAGTTCAGACACCCAGAAGTCATAATTCTTCATACTTGGTATTGCAGTGCATTGTTTATACTACAGGGTTAAATTACTTATCATTTAGCTTTTGTTTCATTAACAAGCCACTCCAGATTCCTGTCCTATTGAGTTTTGGGGTGATTTGTTAAGGCAGCAGATTAACAAAGCAATTCTCAGACATCCCAATAGTTAGGTGTTCTGTAGGTACATTCATAATTAAATTTTTGTCTTTCTTCCATAGATTAATCTAATAGCTCCTCCTCGGTATGTGATGACTACAACAACCCTGGAGAGAACAGAAGGCCTCTCTGTCCTCAATCAGGCTATGGCTGTTATCAAAGAAAAGATTGAGGAAAAGAGGGGTGTCTTCAATGTGCAAATGGAGGTGAGATTAATATTATTTATGCCTTGTTCTAAAATTTTTTTTTTTAAAGATTTATCTATTTATTTATACAAGCACGGGGTACATTCAGAAGCGTGGGAGGGTGAGAGAATTCACCAGAGCCAGAGCGGGGAGCAGAGCAGGCAGAAGGACCGAAGCACACTGCTGAGGGGAGCAGCGGGCGGCAGGAGAGGTCTGCGCGCCATGTGGGACCCTCCTCCGGTGGCCGGGGAGCAGCCGGGGATCAAACCAGTGCTGCAGAAGCTGCGGGCAGCTTCGCAACCCAGTGCTCAACCGCTGCGCCACCGGGGGGGCCCTCCTTGTTCTAAAATTTTTAAGAAATTAAATCATTTAAATGATTTATATTCTAAAATCATAATCATTGCCTTTTAGTTTTAAAGATACATTGAAGATCATGACCCTGATAAGCATAAAGTAACCACTGTCTCAGTGGGTTCCTAAAAGGACTTTTTTTCAGTAAATAAAAACTGTTTTGTACAATGGGTATTCAGGACTATGAAAACTTACGGTGTTAGGTTTCTCTTCCCCAGCCCTAGGAGGGAAAAAAATAGACAATGAAAATGAGTGAATAGCTATTGTGAGAACTTAATGTGGAATGCTTAAAATTTGATCTCAGGATTTAGAAACGAGCCATCTCCTGTATTTTCCTCATATACTAATATTACATACATATAATTATTCCTTCTGTGGAAAGGAATAGTAATTTATTCTGAACCCGAAAGATGCAATTTTACAGGACATCTTTTTGTGGGTTCAGAGGATGCAATCACCGAGATTATTTTCATTTTGAGTTTGTAAAAATAACAGAAAATAGTATTCTGTTTTAATGTATGCAATATGCACATTTCTTTTTTCTATTTTTTTGTTCTTGTACATTTCTTTTGTTAAGAAATTGATTAGTGATGTGTCATCACTCAAAAGTGAACATGTACAGCAAAGTTGTCAGAAAGCAAAGTGTTTAAGAGAAAATAGTAGGCAGTAATAGTAATTGACTTTGCATTTGTGTACTGTTTAACTACTTTGCTTTGAAATTATGCCTCTGCTTCCACAGCCCAAAGTGGTCACAGACACAGATGAGACTGAACTTGCAAGGCAGCTGGAAAGGCTTGAGAGAGAGAATGCAGAAGTGGATGGAGATGATGATGCAGAAGAAATGGAAGCCAAAGCTGAAGATTAACTTTGTGGAAAACAAGAGTCCAGTTTAAGGAATACAAAACAGCCCTTCTTGCTGTAAACCCTAGACTTGAAAGTTTTCCAGTATTGAAAACTTCAAAGCTGAATATTTTTTATTTCCAAGTATTTAAATGTTCCAACAGACCAAATGCCCTCCTGAATGCCAGCTGTTTTCACACATTAGCTCCAACACATTGAGCACTTTTTGAGGGAGTGGCTTGATTTTACTAGAGACAAATATTTAAAAGTCATAAAATTGGGCTTGTGATTCCCATTTCTGATGTCTCCAGATTGGCACCCCTTTGTAGTTTAGTGCCTCCATGAGATTTCCAGAGGCACCCAAAGCAAATAGTCTGAACCTTTCTATATAAAATGTATCAAGCAAACATTAAATAAATTTCTGGGATATTTAACTATAGGCTTCTTCCTTCTTGTCACCAGTTAAAAGCGTTATGAATACTAAGACCTCATTCTCTTATCTTCATTTTAGTCTAGATGTGTGGGCAACTGGCCAAAGGATTGATGCAGCAGATCCTTTCAAAGGGGTTAGAGAAAGTACAGTTAAAGCGGAGTCTTCAGGGGGAAAAAGCCTTAAAATGCAGTTAAAGACATATTGGTTGTGTGCCTTTTACCTATTTGAGATTGATGACATCTGGTAGGAGGGACAAATAATCACACTGTACTGAGCTGCTTGTCTTGAGTTTGTAATTCAGGCTAGTAAATTATGTTTTGGTTTTTGCTGCTTTAATTTAGTTGTTTTAAGTATCACCATCCAACTTTTGATTTTTTTTCCTTTGGACTATTCACTAGGTGCCACCTAGAGCTTCAGTTCTCTTTATAATAGAATAAGGATCTTTTTGAACACAATTACAATTTTTCTACATGTTTTCATCATTTTTATCTTTAGGAGCTAATATTTTAAAGTACACAAAGGTAAATTCCATAGATAACAAACACGTTTTGAAGTCACAGTTAACAGTAGTCAGGGTGTAGAAAGTCGAGTTCCTTTGGTCTGCTTTAAAATTTAAGCTCTAGGATAACTGAGGTATTAAATATATATTAATTTTAGTAATTATTCATAGAAGGATATCTAACTATTTAGGAGATTAAAACTAACTCACCCTAGTCAATCCAAAGCTAGACTTAACTATTAAAGGGACTGGAAAAGAGTGTGTTGGCAAGATAGGTAGTGCCATTTGTAAAGGTGTATCTGTTTAATTTAGTGGCCTCTACTAGCTTTTTAAATCCAAAAGTCTAACTCCATATAGCCATTTCCACGAGGGAGCTATATCTAGGTCCCATACTGGGAGTTTAGAGGAAAATCTTGGCTGTACTCAAAATTGGCGCATAATTTTCACTTTTGTCTTTTTGAGGGGTCAAAAGACAAATCTAAAAGCTTACAGCATCAAGAATGTCATCAAAATATAACAGGTGCTCCTTAAATATTTGCTGTAAGTAGGAGAATGGAATTTTTACTTAGCTTACGGGTTTTTTAATTACTTCAAAAGCCATAACTGTTGAGAGAGATTGTTGGCCTGCATGGTGAGTGATTTTATTCCATGCAGGCCTTCTGTTCAGTTCAACCACAATTTTGCAGATTTGACACTTCACAGGAAAAGCTCAATCAATACCTCACTGATACCGTGGAGAGAATTAACTAAACTTCAAGTATACTTACACTCTGCTGATTGAAAAGTATCACTTGCAGATAGGTTTGCACCTGCTCCAAATAACTTGAGGATCAGATTGGTGGACAGTTGACTAGCTTAAAACGCCAATCTTGGATCTTTTCCCACCAAAGCCTCTTCCTTGATAATAGACAATTTCATCTCTACATTCTGTGTTTGAATAAAATAAAGTGGTTGTCAGCTAATTAGCTATAGTTTGGGTCTCAGTTATCACATTAATTGAAAATGATCATGAAGAAAATATGACCATTCAAAACCACTGTTCATGTTTTATAGCAAAACGAGACCAATATCTGTGGATAATCCTGGAACACTGGAAACTTGCAGAGTCATGCTAAGCAGTACAATTAGTTATTCTTCAGCTGCCACACTTTCAAACATTCCTGACCCAACTACATTAACATCAAGAACAATTAAAATGCTTTGGGATTTTAAAAATTCAAGTGCTAGTACTTTGGCAAGAGTTATTGCCTCATTTGCCTTGAAGTGAAGTTCAACTACTTTACAATGCGTGAAGATTCTGCTCTCATACAGAGTGGGGCGCAGTTGTGCCAATTTGGAGTCCAGACAAATTCAGTTCATGTCAATGCCTATTGATATTCAAAAAGCAATAAGGAAACTAATTCCAGGGACGTTAGACCTTGAAATGCCGAATGGGAAATGGTGCTTTAAAAGGCAGTCTTACAATGTAAGAAATAAAGTAGAACCTCACTAGCTTGGAATTCCTGATCCTTTAGGTTTTCAAGACAAGATTAAGAGGACACAATTCAAACTAAGAAATTTTTACTTAAGCACTTTGGAAGTATCTATTCCCCTTAAATGTAAGTTACATATCTTACCTATTCATTAAAAGAAGTCTAAGCACTTGTACTTGGCAGGAATGCTAGCAGTGACTTGTGCCAGATGACTGTATGAACTTGAAAATAATAAAAATGTTTTTAAAAATATGATGCAGACTTTTTACTACTTCAGATTACCCTGACTGGTGAAGTTATCTTGGTACCTACTTGTCTCAGTTAATGTTTACTTTAGAACCTAATTTTCATGCCTCATTTCCCAGTTCTAGCTTTTGGTTCTTTAGAGAGCTCCTGCTTCTGTCCTTTGGCAAGTCTTGCTTGCTGGGCATCACTTTGAATGCCACTTTTCACAGCTATAATTTTACCTTTTTTTTTTTTTTTTTTTTGTATGGTGGCTAATCTTTCCAACTGAGTCCATGATTTCTTTTCTGCAATGTATAATACTTACGTAGGCTTATTTTCCAAAGCAAAACAATACTCTCTGTTGAACCAAAATTTTCCCACCACCCCCACTTGAAGATGAAGCATATCACCTGGCAGATCACTTGAGATATTTCCATAATTAGTTTGCAAAATTTGTGTAACCTCAAGTATGAAAACTATAGAAGTTTATGCAGGAATTATAATAACCAGAAACAAATGCCAGTGTTTATTCCAAAGGAGTCAAGAGTTATTGACAGTATTTCATGGGTGAGAACTCCCACGAGACGTTTCATTAGTACAACATGGCGAGTTAGTGTTGAAACAAGGAAAATCTATGTTGTTGCCTGAAGAATGGCTGGCTGTGACGATGGGCAAAAGTCAGGTTCTGCCACTTCATGGCTGCTCTAGCATTAAGGGACGGGCTGTAATCAGGAACTTCACCTCACTCCAAAGCAGTACAAAATATACAAAGAAAAGTCTTAACACACTCCCTTTCTTCAGGGAATCCGTCTGTATCATCTGGTAGGAGGGGAATCCTGGTCCTGTTCTATGAGGACCTTGTCACGTTAACTTCTTGATAGCTTCAATCCATTCAACTCGCTCAGCCTTGCTGCTGGCCTGGATATAATAGTGTATGTCATCCTTAGTAATCACTTTGAAGAGATTTCCCTGGACATTCCCTTTAACACCTAGGCAGGAAAAAAAAAAAAAAATCAGTGAGTGAATATCTTGCAGCTGGAACCTGGTGAAAGTCAGAATTGAGACACAAATAGAAACACTTGTGACATCTAAAATACAAATGTATTTGATTAAGGAATCCCCCCAGACATAAGCTTTTCCTTCCATTCCCGTTCCCTTGCCTGTGACTTAAGAGCTATCAATGGTAGATCCGGACATTCTTGAAAGCCTTTTTGGCTTGCCCCCAGTGTTGACCATAGAGCTACAATTTTGGTCACATTACGGAATCCAGTATGTTTATGTTAGAAGCAGGTACAGCTTTGGGATTTAACTGGAACCTCAATTGCCACAGTCATGAAATGGGAATACGATCTTCCTGCCTTAGTGTGATAATAGAGATTAAAGAGTGTTGCTACCCTTTTTGTACTATGTAAGTTACTGTTATTAAGTGGAAGCTTCTGGGCCAGTAAGTACAGAATCTGAGTGAGAGGCCGAGTGAATATTAAGGAGAGGATGATTTAGTTGTACTGATCACTAAAACACCCCACACACCCTTTTCACCAATTCTGAAATTGGTTTCAAAACACTTCACTCCTTGTGTTACTGACAAGGCCCAACTTAGCTCCCGTAACTCGGTCCTTCAACAGCAGAGCCTTGCTGAGCGTGTAGGAGGGAGGCCTGAAATCTTTAAAGACCAGGCCGAAGTTACACCTTACCAGTGGGAACGCCATTATCCTCCAGAGCAGACACAAGTGACCCACGAAGAGAAAACCCACCCACTGGCCGGTTCTCTTCCTACAGAGGAAAGAGACTTGGTTAGGAATTGTGTGAATGCATAAAAGGAAAGTTACACTCTCGCCTGTTATTACTACACATCGTTATTACTATTCCACATTATTACTATTATTATACATCATCTGAGTGATAACCACCTCGGGTCAGCAAAGTCAGTCAGTCAGAGTTACTGTAACAGCCGATGAGGCTGAACTTAGATGTCTCTTTGCCAAGTTATGCACCAGTAAGGAAGCTTGGGCTTCATTTCATAGCCAGCAGCAGAAATGTGACACCCATCCTGGACCTCAGCCCTCCCAGTGGTCTGGCCTGCCCGCAGGGGGCTCCATGCTCCGGGCATAGGGTGGGGGTTTCTGACTAAAGCTCAGTGGAGTAAACACCGCCTGCTCTCCACACTGTCAAAAAAAATAATGAAAAGCACACATGGCTGACCAAGGTGACTAAAGGGTCACTATTCTTGCCACTTTTGACTGAATTGATGTCTTATCAACTCAGCAGGCTCTCTGAAACTCGGAATAGCAATTCTTTGATCAACTAGGAAAAAACACAAGAAAATTAGTAAATGGTGTTTAAATATTATATTGTGAAAAAGAAACTTTCAAAGCATTGGTGGGGAGAAGTTGAGGAGGCAGGATCCAGGGGCTCTTGGCCCAAAGGAGGAAAGAGACTAGGAAGCTCCAGCTGAGTCTCCATCAGCCTCATCCTCCCTAACCACTCCGCACTTTCAGAGAGACAAAAATATGCTTTTTCCCTCAAAACAATGAAGTCTCCTTCCTCAGGAAGTGACGGCAGATGCTGCAGGCAGCAACACTAGGAAAGAAAGGACTATAAGGAATGAACGAGTGGTATGGAAGGGCGGGCATGGTGGGGCGGCACTTGTGGGGGTTCTGGAAGAAAGGAAACTTCGTGCTGTGCTCAAGGCAGATGGGTCTGGACCCCACAGGCAGGCACTTGGGCGCAAGGCACTCACTTTGGAAGGGTCGTAGTAGTGCAGGAAAGCCGGGTCTTTCCTCAGGACAAAGCGCCGCACCTTCCAGTTTTTCCTCTTGTGGCCCTGAACAAAGAAAGAGTCGAAGGCTCATCAGGGACAGCGGAGAGAGTCACTTCCTCTGCTTCCACACGGCTGAACCTCCAAGCCAGCCTGCTCCAGGAGGCTACTTTCCTCAGTGAGTGTGCAGGACCCCCAAGGATTGCAGTGATGTAGGGTGGACTTCCGGCTTAGGAACACTTTAGCAAAATCACTGTCACATTTAATTGAGTTGCCAGAGCCAAGGAGAGTCAGTGCTGAAGGAAAAGCGAGCAGGACCCAGACATCACTCAGGGCAACAGGGAGGCAGCAGGAGTGAACTGGACCCAAAGATACCAACGTTTTAAGTGGCAGCTTAGTCCAAAATCCTACAGGTGCAAGGACACACACACATGCACACACACACAATGAAATCACTTTAACATTCTGCATCAGAAAAAGAAAAATGACGAATTTATATGTTAAAATCTAAGTGCAAGATATTAGCATGTGACTCTCCAGTGTCACACAGCAGCCCCCATCACAAAGCTTTCTAGCCCTCAAGTCTGCAAGGCCCAGAGGCCCTCCCATGCCCTCCTCCTGTTCTTCCAGGCCCTCACTGCCTCTCGTCTCTAGTCTCCTGTCTGGCCCAGCAGAATAGGCTCTTGCATGGGTGGTCAGCCACCTCAGATCAGGCGGAGATCCTGATGTCCAAGAAGCAGGTGACAAGGACAGCACCTGCCCTGAGGAGCAACAGGAGTTGCACTGAGCGTGTGCACAGCACAGACACACATGCACACACATGTACGATGGGCCCACTAACACGGGCCGTGCAGAAGGTGCTCTGAACTTCACACGCTAGGACTTGACGATGTATTCACACCATGGCTTTGTCTTTGTGCTTGGGCAGCTGTGTGGTGACATGGTGCTACCGTTTAACGCGGTTAGCTGAGAGCAGCATCATGGCCAGTGTTAAACACAAGGCTCCCACTGCAGGTAGAATTTCATCTTATGGTAGGTGGAGAAAATGCTTGTCATTTTTAGTTCAGAAAGTCCAGCTAGGGGGTGTGCAGATCCCTACAAAAGGAGATAGAGACTCATTGATATCTCAGGGAGTAGGGGCCCAACAGATGCAAAACACCCGCTCAGCTGGCAGTGCCCCTCCAGACAAATGTGTTAAGTGGGCAGTGCCACAGGTGTTTTGCAATGTGATGATTACTTGTGTGTGCCCTTTTCCTGCACACCCCTGTGTCTGGGCTCGTGAGTGTGAGGGGGCATGCTCATGCCCTGGGCCTTGTTCTCTGCAGCTGCACCTGGGTTCCGCTCTCGCAGATTCGCAGATTCTGCCAATAACGAGTGCCCTCTGGAAGTTTCTGCCTGGCCCCCCCTTTGGGGTCACTGCTGCCTCCCCTGAGCCCGAGCAGTGTCTGGTCCTCCCTGCCCAAAGGCAGCCATACCTGCTTGGCCAGATAGCCTTGTTTGACCACGGTGCCGCTTAATTCCACAGAGCTAAGGTTGATTTCTTCCTTGGGGGTGGTCTTCTTCTTGTAGCTCTCCGCCTAGTGGGGGGGAGAGAGCAAGTTTCTATTACAAAGAAAATCCCAGTTCCAGGTATGAGGTCAACCATAGGGAAAAGGAAGTTCCTCGATACAGAAACCCCACTCCATCAGGGTGAACGTGCCCGCCCAACCCGAGGCCTCTCACACAGGACGGCAGACCCCGGCCCTCCCTCTGCTGTCTCTTCCCTGTGCCCTGGTGACAAAAGAAACCTGTGCCTAACTTACGAAAGTGTACAGGGCCGTGGAGTCATCCAGGAACTGCTCGGCCAGGTCCCCAGAGCGAATGGCTCCCAGGCTCCGGGAGCCCACAGGTCTGAGGAAGTTCTCCTCCATGAGCATGGACGCGAGTGTCACGGCTTCCAGGCGGCTGGCTGCGAAGTTGCTGGAGATGAGCCAGTCCACCAGGGAGGAGCCTGCATTGGGACAGAGGCAGCACCGGTGAGATGACAGGCTGCAGACCACTTGCCTCAGGTGCTTGGCTGTAACCTTGACGTTGACGTTGACGTTGACGTTGACGTTGACCTCCCGGGCAGCCTGGGAGCTCTACCTAAAAGCAGACTAGAGGCTCCTACGCCCACTGCATGGAGGCGTGACCCACATGTGGCTACCCCAGGTCAACCGAAGCTTTGACCCCAACTCGGTCTGGTCAAAGCACATGGCTGAGTCCCAAATCTCCATGACCCAGATTTCCACTGCTCAGCCTGGCTGCTGAGCGGGGAGGCTCACCTATGAAGGTCTTTTTGTAGGTGCTTCCCTGCTCCATGTTGGGGCTCGACCGGATTCCAGTGCTGCTGTCATGCATCTTGTCCACGATGCGGCTGCACAGGAGAGCAAGGCAAGAAGAGGGGCCCTCGTCACAGGGACAGGTGTGAGGAAGGGTCCCAGAGTCATTGCTCAGGGCATACAGCAAGCGGCAAATGGTACACCATGCGCCACCAAGAAACAGAAGTATTCAGCTCAGAATGTGGGAGGTGGGCTCTAAGGACCTGTTTTCTCTTTGCTCATCTAACTGTTCTCACATTTCCAAACTAAACATTTGGTAGTAAAATTAAAGAGTTGTGATCTTTAATTTAAAAACAAACAAAAAATATGTACAGTAAGGACTCTTTGTGATCTGCTGCATTAAGTCTAAACTCCTCCAGCTACTTCTCAGTCTCTCACCATCTGAATTCAGTCTTAACTACTACTGCTCCGCCCAGCACTCCCCCCAGTTTAGCAACACCGGAGATGCACAACCAAGATTTCAGGGCCTGGCTTGGATTTTTCTGGTGAGCCCAGGAGTGGTTTCACGCCACGTCTTCTCCAGGTTCGAGTTCCACTGCCTAGGGGGTGGAGGAGGGTTGTGTTTCCTGCAGATGGGTTGGCATCTCAATTTCCATGACAAAAAGACTTTGAGTTTATCCCTGCTTTATATAGAGAGGAATATTGCCTCCATCACTGAGCTGCTTTCCTTCTGTTCTGCGGGACAATTCCTGCCAACAATGGAAGATCTGTTCTCAGATTTCATTTGTGTACTTGGGCTGGAAAATTCCCAAGATGAGACCTTATTTATTCCCAGTGCAGTGCTGGGCATGCAGTGGACGCTCACTGTTTCCTGAATGAGTGAATGAACGAGGAACTCACAGAACAAGAAGACAACTGCTACCAGAACACATAGCTTTTGCCACTAGGCTGCAATCAAGACCAATGACTTGGTCAGTGGAGAGTCTCAGATGCTGTGGCACAGGCCTGAGCACCCTGGCTAAAACTGAAAGGGGTGGGTCACAGAGCTGGGGAGAAACAGCAGAGGCCCAAACAGGTTGCACAGCAGGAGAGCAGGTGGGTGAGACCACTCCCAGGCAGAGGCAATAACAGGAGCAGGACAGAGACAGAGGAAGACTGTCCCACTACTCAGCAGGCCTGAGTAGCAACAGGGGCCACCTGCCCCAGAAGCTTGTCTGCCCCTCCCAGGCCACACATACAGAAGAGGCTAAAGAAAAGCCAGGAAGTGGGAGGGTCCGGCCCCAGCCAGGCACTCACTGCAGGCTGATGTGAGGGGGCAGCTTGAAGGAGTTTTTTAATATATGGAGTTGCTGGACCTTCCCCGGCTGCCCAGCATGAATAGCCCCTGTGATCTCAAAGGCCCAAGCGTCTCTCTCCTCTCGAGAACAGGCCTCCAGGAAGTACTCCGTGGATGTTCGAGTCTTCAATTTAATCAGGAGCTGTGGAGAGACAGCCAATCAGACCAGCACTCAGAGGCTGAGCAGGCAAAAGCCAGCTGGGCCAGGGGCCAAAATGGTAGGGTCACAGGCAAAGGCCAGACCCTTGACCATCCCCCAGCTGGCGGTCTTTAAAGATTGGCTTGTACACCAAGTGATAGGAGCATCCGGTCTCATAAGATAGCCTTTTCCTCGGGACAGTGTCGCACAGGGACGGCTTCCCAGATGACTTCTAGGCCACATAGTGTTTTGACAGACCATCATTACCTTCGAGATCTTCATCGCAACCACAGCAATAGTCAGGTGGCATCATTTTATCCCATTTTATAGATAAAAAACTAAGGTTCAAAAGAGGTTCAGCTACTTGTTGAAGGTCAGACACCTGGCATTTGGTGTAGCCAGGACTAAAACCCAGGTTTTTCAACAACTCAGCTCTTCCCATTACCCACACCACCTTCACCAACCAGGCCAGAGGTGGGAGTCTCTGGGGCAGGGAGTAGCTGGGATGCAGGGGCCTGCACTTACAGGTCGGTTTTCATACTCCAGGCAAGGGCAGGTGATGGTGCAGCCATCCAGGAGTATGCGGCCCTTGGGAGGGGTCACTTTCCTGCCCCCCTCGAGCTTGTAGTACAGCAACGTGTTCTGCTGAAGGATGAACCATCGCACCTTCCAGTTGTGGACAATGTGACCCTGAAGAAGACAGGAGAACTCTGTGGTGAGGTGGCTGAGGGGCAGTACCATGAGCAGGGAGCGTCCCGTGGCACCTGCAGCCACACTGTGCCACAGAAACAACCCCCAACAAGGGGCGCGGCCTTCTCGCTCTCTCTGGTTATTGTTTTTTTAAGCTTTATTTTATTTTTTTATTTTGAAATAACTTCAATTCAGAGAAAAGTTGAATAATATAAAGATATTTTTCAGAAACATTCAAGAATGAATTTTTAACACAATGTTCCATCACTTCCATATATTTTATCATGTATCTCCTACCCAAAAAAAAGAATATTTCCTACATCAATGATGGGAAATTTACATTAATATATTGTTTTCATCTATTCATTCTACAAAACCCATTCACATTACACCAATTGCCCCATTGTGTCCAAGGACCCAGCTCAGAATCATAAATTTTTCTTTTCATAAAGCAAGCATTGTCTTAACCAAGGATGTAAAGTACTTATACAATGAAAACTACAAGATTCTTTAAAAAGACACAGATCAAGACATAAAGAGAGGGAATGACAGTCTACATTTATAAATGGAGAGATTTAATATAAGCAAAATGACTATTCTACCAAAAGCAATATATAGATTTAATGTAATACCCACTAAAACATCAATGATATTCTTCTAGGGAATAGAAGTGAACATATTAAAACCTATGTGGAACCATAAAAGTCCTTAAATACTAAAGCACTCCTGAGAAAAAGAGAAATGGAGGCATCACGTTACATGACTTTAAACTTTACTCCACATAAAGTTTAACTGCATGACAGCTGCATGTAAAGAATGAAGTTGTTGGGCCTCCCTGGTGGCGCAGCGGTTGAGCGTTGGGTTGCGAAGCTGCCCGCGGCCTCTGCGGCGCCGGTTCGATCCCCGGCTGCTCCCCGGCCACCCGAGGAGGGTCCCACATGGCGCGCAGACCTCTCCTGCCGCCCGCTGCTCCCCTCAGCAGTGTGCTTCGGTCCTTCTGCCTGCTCTGCTCCCCACTCTGGCTCTGGTGAATTCTCTCACCCTCCCGCGCTTCTGTCTGTACCCAGTGCATGTATAAACAAAACAAACAAATAAATAAATAAAACATGCCTCTATTTAAAAAAAAAAAAAAAAAAAAAAAGAATGAAGTTGCATCACTCTCTAACAACTTGCACAAAAATAAATTCAACATCCATTAAAAACTTACACATAAAACCTACAACAATAAAATATACAGAGGAAAAAAATGGTGATACAGTTCATGACATTAATGGTAAAGATGGTTTTAGAAACGTGACCCCTACTGCAAGGGAAATAAACAATAAGAATTATCTTAAATCAAAGAGCTTTTACACAGTGTAAGAAAATATAAACATATTCAAAAGACGCCCTGAGCCTCCCTGGTGGCTCAAGGGGTTAAGACGCAGCCTATGAAGCTAACCACAGCCACTGCAGCATGAGTTCAATCCCCAGCCAGGGAGAAACTCACATGGTGCAGCAGACCTCTCCTGACTCGTCCACTGCTCCCCTCAGCAGTGTATTTCAGTCAATCTGCCTGTTCTGTTCCCCACTCTGTTTCTGGTGAATCTTCTCACCCCCCGCACCACTGGCCTGTACCCCAGTTCTTGTATGCATAAATAAATAAATCTTAAAAAAAAAAAGACATCCTACTGAATGGGAGAAATATCACACAATCAACAAGGGGTTAACACTCAAGTTATATGACAAACAACTTTGACAACAACACAAAAGCAAGCAACCCAATTAATAAGTGGTCAACAGATCTGAACAGGCAATTCACAAAGGTATCTAGAAGGTCAACAGATATTTAGAAAAAAGTACAACATTGTTTTTAATAAGGGAGATGCAGGTCAAAACCACAATGAGGGCTTCCCCTGGTGGCGCAGGCGGTTGAGCGCTGCGCTGTGAAGCTGTCTGCAGCCTCTGCAGTGCCAGCTGGATCCCAGCCAGCTGGCGAGGATCCCACATGGCACAGCAGACCTCTCCTGTCTTGCCCACTGTCCCCTCAGCAGTGTATTTCGGTCAGTCTGCCTGTTCTGTTCCCCGCTCTGTCTCTGGTGAATCCTCTCACCCTCCCTCACATCTGGCTTTACCCCGGTGGTTGGATAGATAGATAGATAGATCGATAGATAGATCGAGTGATCGATCGATCAATCGATAGATAGATAGATCTTAAAAAAAAAAAACACAGTGAGATGTCATTTCACAGCCATGAGAATGGCACACATTAAAAAAAGGCTCTCAGCAGCAAGTGCTGGAGAGGAAACTTACACATTGTTGGTGGGAATGCAAACTGGTGCAGTCATTTTAGAAAGTGATCTGGATTTACCTTCAAAAACTAAAATGGAAATACCATATGAACTAGCAATTCCACTTTGGGGCATCTATCCAAAGAACATGAAACCATCAACACCAAAAAAAGTATATGCTCTACAATGTTTGTTTCAGCATTACTGACAACAGCTAGGACATGGAAACAACTTAAGTGCCCACGAATAGAGGAATGGATCAAGAAGATGTAGTATAGCCACAAATGGAATACTATGCAACCATAAAGAAAGACAAATGTTACTCTTCACAGCATAAAGGAAGGAATTCAGGGAATTTTGTGTGACTAAATTTGTGTGACTAAAGCAAGTCATAATTGCAAAGACAATTATAGGATATTTACATAAGGGATAATTCAATGAAGCTAAATACTCATATCAACTAGTTGATACTAATAAACCAACTGATGTTTCTGAGGTTAAGAAGGAAGGGGGCGTGAGAAGTAGTCAAAGGGGTGTAAAAGATGATGGCTGGGGGAAGAAAAAGCATTGTCTTTGTCTTTATCTTTGTGATGTCTTTTGAGTTTGTAACAAAGATCTTTGGCACTGACCTTCCAGTTCCCATTTGACCTTTTTTCCTGGTTATAAACCTTGAAAGAAACTGCAAAGCATATAGAAGAGAAAATCCTACTGCTAGAAGCTGGCCGTTTTCAACATTTCACATTTCGTTCAAGTCTTTTTTCCTTTCGGTTTTTATTTCTAGGTTTTTTTTTTTTTTTTAATTCAGGACCATATTACATATAGTTTTATTATTTAGTTTTCATTTTACTTAGCTTTGTTCGGTTCACACCATTAAAGTTCTTTAAAACACATTTTATTATTTAGTAAAATTTTATTGAATGACAGTACTGTATCAATTTCAGAGGTACATCTTTACCTCTATGTGTGTATAAAACTCGCCTTACAAACACCAAGTTTCTAGTGCATTCCACTATCAGGTTGATAATCTCTAACCCTCCCACTCTCTGGTTCTTCCCCTCTCCTCTGGTAACTACTATATTTTTCAGAGTCTGAGACTTATTTTTGTTATAATTTGTTAGGTGATTTGCTTTTGTTATTTATATTGCACATATAAGAGAAACCTGGTAACTATCTTTCACTTTCTGACTTATTTCACTTAGCATAATCACCCCAAGTTCCATCCATGTCACAAATGGTAAGCGTTCACCTTTTTAACAGCTGAGTAGTATTCCATTGAGTATATATACTGCAACTTTTTAATCCAGTCATCCATTGATGGGCATCTAGGTTGTTTCCATGTCTTAGATACTGTGAATAATGCTGCTCTGAACATAGGGGTGCATATCTTTTTGAATTAGTTAAAACATGTTTTTAAATTGCCACTAAGTAGGTACATCATTTACTTGCCAGTATCCTGTGGTTTAAAACTGAGGTGGTGTCATTTTTTTACTATTATAACAAATTCTGCAATAACTAACCTTGCATAAATTTTGATCTGCATCTCTGATTTTTCCCCTTAGGATATATTCCTAGAAATGATGAATTACTAGTCAAAAGATGGGAACAATTTGTAAATTTGAAGCCACAATAGTACCGGTGCTAAGGGCCCTCACAGGCTCACCTAGCCAGGTGTGGCAGGGCTAAAAGGCAGGGTGGTTTGGGGGCTCCCCAGGGGGTCATAGAGTTAGCGGGTAGGGTAATCCGGTGACAGCATTAAAGTTTCTAGAACAGACAAACAGATGGGGGAGTGTCTGCTGAGGAATCAGAAAGGAATGAGTTTATTACACATTCATGGAAGAACTTTCTTGGTGTATTCCATTAGGACTAGATGTCAACCAAGAGAAATGTGCTGTCTCTGAACCAGAGGCCATTTCCACAGTTTACTCATTTCCTTGCCTGGCACGTATTAATTTCAGAAGCCTCTTCAAGGCTCACATCTGTGATACGATGATTCTCAGTGTATGCTGAGTGCTGTCAGGGAGCCAGAAATTGCACAAATACTTTCTGTGTGAGTACTGGCCTGTGTCCAAATAGACATCACTGTTGCAACTAAACTTTTAAAAAAAAGATTTATTTCATTTATTTATGCATACAAGAGCTGGGGTGTAGGCCAAAGGTGCAGGAGGTGAGAAGATTCACCAGAGACAAAGTAGGGAGCAGAACAGGCAGATTGACTGAAACATCTGCTGAGGGGAGCAGCTGGTGAGACAGGAGAGGTCTGTTGTGCCACGTGGGTCAGCTCCCTGGCTGATGATTGAACTCAGGCTGCAGTAGCTGGTGATAGCTTGATAGCACTGAGACTTTAACCCCTGCGCCACCAGGGAGGCTCCTAAATAAAACTTTTAACAAAGTTATCTGACAAGAGTTATTAACATGCCTGCATGTCATTATGCTACGTGGTGGTCAAGCTGTTCACATGAGGGGACTTATGTAGCCAGACAGAATTTGACAGTTGTGTTCTGTACTATGCCCTGTCCTTGGAGCCCACACAGAACAGCCATGTAGCAGGCAGATGTGTCTGCAGCCAGAAAAGATGTGCTCTGACTCCTCAGCGACTGGGTTCTCTGCTGCTTTCCGGGTGGCTCAGACTCAGGTTCCCTTTCCTAGTGATGCCTTATGGGGGGTCCTGAAGAGCACAGTAGTACATTGCCAGTGAATGAGGAAGTTAGGAAATGGGCACAGGTAGTGTTA